TTGTTGTAATAGCTCTTTTTAGGTTTGTTAGTAGTTGCTTTATGTACTTTGGTGCTCCTGTGTTGGGTGCGTATATATTTATGTGTTATGTCTTCTTGGTGGCATGTCCATTTTATCATTACATACTGCCCCTCTTTGTCTCTCATTGCCTGTTTTGTTTTTCTTTTTGTTTTGAGGAAGATTAGCCCTGAGCTAACTACTGCCAATCCTCCTCTTTTTGCTGAGGAAGACTGGCCCTGAGCTAACATCCATGCCCATCTTCCTCTACTTTATACTTGGGATGCCTACCACAGCATGGCTTTTGCCAAGTGGTGCCATGTCCATACCCGGGATCCGAACTGGCGAACCCCGGTCCGCTGAGAAGCGGAACGTGCGAACTTAACCGCTGCGCCACCAGGCTGGCCCCTCATTGCTTGTTTTATCTTGAAGTCTACTTTGTCTGATATAAGCATGGCAACACTTGCTTTCTTTTGTTTGCCATTAGCTTGAAGTATTGTCTTCCATCCCTTCATTCTGAGTTTGTATTTGTCTTTAGAGCTGAGATCTGTTTCTTAGAGGCAGTAATTATTGTGTCTTATTTTTAAATCTATCCTGCCACTCTGTATCTTTTGATTGGAAAATTCATTTACATTTAGGGTGATTATTGATATATGAGGGATTAATGCTGCCATTTCATCACTCATTTTTGGCTGTCCTGTATTTCCCTTGTTTCTTTTCCCATGTATTTTGAACTACCAGTTCAATTTGGTATATCTCTATGATGGTTTTCTCAATTTTCTCTTTGTTCATCATTTGTGTCTCTGTTCTAATTATTTGTTTTGTGGTTATCATGAGGTTTGTATAAAAAAATTTCAGAGATGAGATAGTCCGTTTTCTGATAGCCTCTTATTTCCTTATCTAAACCTGATTCCATCCCTTTCCTCTTCCCCTTCTTAGGTATTGTTGTCACAACTTATTCCATCTTGTGTTGTGAGTTTGTAGTTAAAATAAGATTATAGCTATTTTTGATGTTTCCCTTCCCTTTATCTTTAATGTTATAATTGTTTGCTAACCTGTTATGATAGAGAACTGCAATTTTCTGATTTTGTCTGCCTATTTATCTCCTTGCTCAAGGCTTTTAAACTCTTTCTTTTTTTTTCAGGTATGAGGGCCTTCTTGATCATTTCTTGTAGAGGAGTTTTGCGGCAGTGAACTCCCTGGGCTTTTGTGTATCTGGGAAACCTTTTATTTTCCCATCATATCTGAAGGATGTTTTCGCTGGATAGAGTATTTTTGGATGAAAGTTTTTGTCTCTCAGAATTTTGAATATATCATTCCAATCTCTCCTAGCCTGTAAGGTTTCTGCTGAGAAATCTCCTGAAAGCCTGATAGGTGTTCCTCTGTAAGTTATTTTCTTCTGCCTTGCTGCTCTTAATATTTTTTCTTTGTCATTGACTTTTGCCAGTTTTACTACTATATATGTGTTGGAGAAGGTCTTTTTTACATTGATATGAATAGGAGTTCTATCAGCTTCTTTCTTGTATTTCTAGCTCCTTCCCAGGTTTGGGAAGTTCTCAGCTATTATTTCTTTGAACAAGCTTTCTGCTCCATTCTCCCATTCTTCTCCCTCTGGAATACCTATAATGCTTACATTGCATTTCCTAATTGAGTCAGATATTTCTCAGAGAATTTCTTCATTTCTTTTCAGTCTTAGTTCTCTCTCCTCCTCCATCTGAAGCATTTCTATATTTCTGTCCTCCAGACTGCTGATTCATTCCTCCATAATATCAGCTGTGTTATTCAGGGAGTCCAGATTTTTCTTTATCTCAACTATTGTGTTTTTCATCTCCAACATTTCTGATTGGTTTTTCTTTATAGTTTCAATCTCTTTTGTGAAGAATTCCTTCTGTTCATTAATTTTGTTCCTGATTTCATTGAACTGTCTGAATTTTCTTTTAACTTGTTATTTTATGATAGCTATTGTGAATGCTCTGTCATTTAAAATGTAAATTTATGTGCCTTCAGGATTGATTTCTGGGTGCTTGTTATTTTCCTTCTAGTCTAGAGTATTAATATATTTCTTCATACTGTTTGATGACATGGATTTGTGCTTTTGCATAGTGATAGTATCTGGTCATAGATTCCACCTACCACTGGGGGAAAGGGGGTCAGGAGCTGTGTATTCTGAGCCCACTGTGATCCCTGGCATCTGTGCCTGGGCTTGGGAATTCATGCTGGCACAGCCCATCTGCTATTGCCAGCTGCTGTTTTTCTAACGTATGCTTGGGTGCTCTGGCCAACTGGCTGAGCTGGAGTACCTATGGGGGTAGGGGTACTTTCTTCACGTGCCCAATCCCAGGAGCATTTTCACTCTGCCCTCACTATATGCTCTCCTGAGGTGCTGGCTTGATGCAGACACCCCTGTAATAGCTTAGCCTCCTCTTTGTAGAGCTTTTCCATGGGCTGTGGGGTAACTTGGAGAGAGAAGGCATTCCTGCAGAGAGCTGCCCCTCCCCACAAAATCATCACCAAGGCTGATGTCAGGGAGCTCACCCCTATGTTTTCATCTAGTAGTTTTATGGTTTCAAGTCTTATGCTTAAGTGTTTAATCCATGTTGAGTTGATTTTTGAGTATGGTGTTAGATAGTGGTCCAGTTTCATTCTTTTGCATGTAGCTGTCCAGTTTTCCCAACACCATTTATTGAAGAGACTATTCTTTCCTGATTGTATATTCTTGGATCCTTTGTCATAAATTAATTGACCATATATGCATGGGTTTATTTCTGGGGCTGTATGTTCTATTCCATTGATCTATGTATCTGTTTTTATGTCAATATCATATTGTTGGCAATAAACATAATTTGCTGGTGTTCCAGAAGTCTGTCTTTCTGTTTTGTTTTTTGTTTTCTTAACCAAAGCCATTAAAAGCTGCTGCTTTATATACTTACTTTCTCTACTCAGCATAAAATAGAGGTGAAAAAAGCTTGTTAATTTTAATATGGCAATTTATAGTACCTTTGGTCTTCAGAATACAAGTAGTTTTCTTGTCCCCCCCCCCCCCTTTCTTTTAGGGATTTTAAATACTAAGTTTCTGAATTGTGATTTAAATTCCACATTAGAAAGGAGATTGGGATTATCTTTACCTAAGAATTGTCTCAAATTTTATTCATAACTTGAAAATAAGTTTCAAAGACATTTTGTCATGGTAACTCTATAATAGATAATAGTGTTTATTTAATCCACCTTGGAAATTTTCTATTTCTGCATCATTTATACAATAATGCAAATGTGAAATGATATATTTTACCATTCATTTCAATGACCCATTATGACTAAGAAACAGGGGAAACTGTTAACTTTATAATGCTTAGTAAAATCTTGCTTTAAAACTTTATACAACATAAAATAATATGTGCTGTGTGAACATCCATATATTTTAAAATAGTAAATGACAAATAAGCCAAAGTTCAGGCAAAATTAATTAAAATCCAACTTTTAACTATATATAGTTATTTGTGAGTGAAATGGCTGAACTAAATTAAAAATCCAGACTGGCTTTTCTTCTTCCTAGTCGTTATGTTTATAAAATTAAATTCAATATTAACTGAAAGCAAACTATCCAGAAAGGAAAAATGGCACACATTTGACTTAAGTGAAAATTATCCATTTTTCTATCTGTAGATAACATCATTTAGATTCTTTCCTTTTCATTGCCCTACTGGCAGATATTCAGTAAATACAAACAAAAAGTATTATCAGGTATTATCAGCATCTGTAAAATATAACTGGGAAGGCATATTATTAAAACGTCACATAATCAACAAATGACTTGCTGATTACTGGTTTGGGATTATACTTGTGTTATTTGCTTATGTGATTGAGGTGACGGCATCATCACACGATTCTGTAACAACTAAAGCATGTGGTATGCTCTGGGGCAGACTTGTTTTAAGAACAATTGCCTTGGGTATAAATTATTTTTTAACTGTACAATTTTGTTCCATTTTTATAGTAATGTTAAAAAACTATTAATTTTCCCCCTGTTGAATTGCAGCACACACAGTTTACTCCCTAAGCAAGTAGGGGAAATGGCACCAGTAAAGCAATGCAAATGAGAAAGTGGGGGCAGTGTGCTCATTCCTGTACTGTTCTCAATGTGGGATCATCAGATCAAGGGAAGTAACCATTTTCCAGACTGCTTTACCAGAAGATTAAACCAATTTTCAGTACCACCCAAAATATATTCCCAGATGTTGTCTCAGTCCTTTGCCATCATTGATTTTTATTAATCTAATTGAGGTTTATTATTTCATATAATCTTAACTAATAAGGTTGTTTTGCATTTTTGTCAGCAAAGATACGTTTCCCTATTTTTTAAAGTTGTCTACATTTCCAAACACAAAATCTGTTAATCTTCTTTGACCACCCACCACTGGAGTTTGGGTACTGACATATTTCTATTAAATCTTTATTTTTGGCAAAGTTTCAACATGAATAGCAAGTTGTGATTCTTAAATATATTTTAAAAACTTAGGTACAGTAAGGTCTCTCTCTTTATTTTGTTGAGGAAGATTTGTCCTGAGCTAACATCCATGCCAATCTTCCTCTATTTTTTAGTATGTGGGCCGTCAGCACAGCATGGCTGCTAACAGAGTGCTGTAGGTCCACGCCTAGGAACCAAACCCAGGCTGCCAAAACATAGTGTGCTGAACTTAACAACTAGGCCACCAGGGCTGGCCCTAAAATCTTTTTGCTGTACACTTTTGTGAGATTTGACAAATACATGGAATACTTACAAATCACCATCAGGATACAGAACAGTTTTTACTTCCTCAAATTCCTTCATGTTGCCCTTTACATCCCCACATTCCATACCCCCATCCTTAACCTCTGCTAACCACTATTTGCTTTCTGACCCTATAGTTTTGCCTTTTCCGGAATGTCATCTAAATGGAATGCTATAGTGTGTGATTTTTTGAGTCTGGCTTCTTTCAGTTAACAAAATGCATTTGAAATTCATCCACATTGCTCATCAATAGTTTATTCTTTTTTGTCACCAAGTAGTATTCCATTGTATAGAGGTATCTGAGTTTGTTTATTCACTCACCCAGTGAAGGATATTTGGGGTACTTACAGTTTCAGGCAGTTATGAGTAGTTACATTTCATTATGAATTATGAAAAAATCGAAAATGCATCCTATAAACATTTGCATACAGATTTTTGTGTAAACTTGTTTTTGTTTCTTGGATAAATACCTAGGAATGGAATGACTGGATCCCACAGTAGGTATATACTTAACTTACAAGAAACTACCAAACTGTTTTCCAAAATGGTTGTGCCATTTTGCATTCCTATTAGCCATGTATGAATTACAGTTGCTCTAAATTCCCTGATTCTTTTCTTTCCTTTTTATTGTGTACATTTAAAGCATTTTAAATATCTATCTCTCATGATATCTATTTTAAAAATAGCCATAAATGAATGTGATCTCTGCCACTAAAATAGTGGTTTTCTCTAGTGATATTAAGGATTCTTTTACTATTTACTACTATTAAGGATTCTTTTACTAATTCATATTTACCATATGAAATTTACTGAATACACGGTATGCACGATAGTACCAAGCCATTTCTTTCCCATACTGACATCCGCTGGCCTAACAAGATGATTTGTGGATTGGTCTACCTTTACCCATTTCTCAAATGTTGGCATTCTTTGGCTTGCTTCTCACTCTGCTATCTTCCTGAGTGGCTGTCAATCTGTTCCTGGAGTTTTAATTGCTATCTCCTGCAGAGCTTTCTGAGTTTCAGGGCTGGGACGTTTCCACCTGCATGTCCCTTAGGAACCAGTAACTCAACACATTTCTTCAAATCCTCCTCCTCCATTCCCTATCCTAGGCAGTATATGGTACCATTTTCCCATTGCCCATGACAGAGAGAGGGGAATTATTTGTGACACCTATCTCTTCCTATTTCTCATATTCAAAAGGTCACTGGGTTCTGTCAAAACAGTAATCCATTTCTTCCCATGGCCTTATATCTTCTCGCTCAGACTCCTTTGAGCCCTTCTGTACCCTGGCCCAGGGTGATCTCTCAACACACAAATCTGAGCTAGTCAAGTCCCAAAGGCTCCAATGGCTCCTCACTAGCAGTGAACACAACATCGGAACATCCTTCAAGATTTGGTCCTTCTTTTAAAGAAAAAAACCCTCTCCAGCTACCTCTTCTTTACCTGAGTGACTAAATTCAGAAGCTGGACTGCCAGATTTTGAATTCTGACTCGACCACTTACTGCTTTTTGACCTTAGACAAGTAACACCACCTCTCCACATACAATTGCATTCAAAGTTATACAAAATAGGGAAATAAAAACATTTACATCACTGTTAGGAAGTCTGACTTCTAAGCTTTTTAAAAGATAGAAAACAAGTATCTTGTTATGTTTTATTACAACCATACATCAGGTTTCTGAGTCACTTATACTCTGGAGCCAGACTGCCTGGATATGAATCTGAGTTCCACCACTTATTAGCTAGTGTTCTCTTTGGCCAGCTGCTTAACTCTGTTTCTTCGTCTGCAAAATAGGAATAATAGTATCTGCTTCAGAGTGATTGTTGTGAGAATTAAAGGAACTAATCTATCCAAAAGTGCTTCAAACAACGCCAAGCATATAGTAAGCACCATTTTAAGTATTAACTATTGGGGAAGTAAGTCCCTAATTTCCCACCCATCCTTGGTGCCCTTCCAATGAATCCTGAACAGCGCTTCCTTCTAGCATAGAAATCAGCACAATGTGTTGAAATTACTTTTCTCATCTCCACCCTAAGATGTCTGAAAGATACTCGTCTCAAGCACTCTGGCCTCTAAGAACCCCCGAGCGCTTACCCCTCTTTTGCTTTAGGGTGCCAGATATGACACTAGAGGCATTCTGAATTCAGGAATACAAATGTTAAATAAGAGTCATAGCACCACAGATGGATTTCTGTTGAGAAAATATTTTTTGCATGTACTCAAACCAATTTAGTTTCTTGATTAGTTTTCTACACAGCATAGCAAAAACGATATTTTTTCCACTTTCATTTTACTGAAATTATTTTCATTGGAAGTTTTTTCTATATAATTATAAAGCAAGGAATGGATTCATCAATCAGTCCTTTGCATATATCAAATTCTTCCAATTACTGTTCTTACCGCTGAGTTTCTCAGGATCAAATTAAAATCTAAGTTTTATTGATGCAATTCTATTAGCTCCGGGTTAGAACTGTGCGCAGTTTTACTTTGTTAAATATTTCTATCGAGTCTAATTTTTCTAGGGTCAATTTTGGCAACTTTCAATCTTACAAGATGTGGTTCTTCAGTACGTTTTTCTCTAATACCATTATCATGTGCAGTGTTAGCTGTTCTAGTTTTATTTATACAATGGAAATTCTTTTGTTGTGATTTGGATAAAAAATTGTTTGCATTCACTTCTTAGCTAAAAATGAGAAAATTGTAACTTCCCAGGACCATCCTAGGGGTCAAAATATCTCACCTCATTTCGCCCTCAGCTATCTTCACGTCATTCATTCTGCTTACCCCTGATGCCAGCTCAAGCAGCAATTGCTCTGAGAAGCCTCTCCATCAAGTTTTCCTCTTTATGCTTAGATAGTACATTTTATTTTTCTTTCATCACACTTATTAAAGAGCTTATATATTTCCATGAGTTTTATTATCTCCCTCATTAAACTCTGCTCCCTGACTTTGTTTTTCTTACCACTGGATACCTGGCACATAAAAGTCACTCAAATTTATTGAAATGATGAAAAAGAAAATGATTACATTCTTTTATCCCCAGTGCCCATATAATGCCTGACTAATCCTAGGCACTCAGTAAAAGCTGTTTGCATTTCCCCCTTATTGTTTATTTCTGGTTTGTTATGGTATGACAGATGATGATAAACTATTCTTTTAATACTAATTTTGAAAATTGACGTTTTAATGCCCTACATTTTTAAGCTTTTAATAGGCACACTACTCTAACAGTCTCCTCTTCTCTTGTCTACAGGGCTGCCATACTGCACAACTCCAAGTGGGTACACTGTATTCCACAGAGCAGGGAGTTGGCCAATGTAGTGGCACTGCATCCTCACCTCCCTCTGTGAAAGGAAAAGCATTCAGCTATCTCCTAGTTACATGTGGTTATAACAGCAGTTCTAACCCTAAGCTGTACAAGAAAATCATGAGATACTTTAAAAACAGGAACATTTGGGCCCCACCCTAAAATTATTGAGTCATGTAGTATTAAAATTCCCTGTGTGACTGCAGAGCTAGGGTTAGGAAACATGGGCTTGGAGCACAGGATCAGGGTGAGAGAAGTGGTTAGACATTGATCGGGGTAGGCAGGTTAGTGAAAGAGTATTAAGGGCCCTGTATTCAATACTAAGGAACTGGCATTAAATTCTACATGTAGCGAGGAGGTTTTCCGAGGTAACAAAATAATCAGATCTATGAGAAAGGCTAACGTGGCACCAGTGTGGTAGGTAGGTGGGCAGGGAGCAGAGCCTGAGTCAGGGAGGCCAGGGGAAGCAGCTCCAACAAGACCGGGAATCGATGGTGAGGACTTGAAGTAGGGCGGCTACAGTGCAAACAGGGAGGAAGGGAATGGGACAGGACTCACAGACATTTGCCAGAACTCCACGAATGGCATGAGTAGGGTGATTAAAGAGGGAGAAGTTAAAGACCACTCCAAGAATCCCGGGCCAAGCAACTGGATGCAATTTGATGATGTTATTAACCAAACAGAGAACACAAGTATAAGGGAAGAACAAAACAAGGAGACAAAACAAATTCTGTTTCCAGCTATAATGAAACTGAAGTTCCTTGTGTAGGCCACTGTGGAGCTGAAATAGCAGGAAATTGGAAAGTGAGATCTAGACTTCAGAAGAGAGGTTGAAGATGAAGTTTTAGGTTTGGAAGTCAACAGGGTATTTGGAAACAGCTGAGGCCATTGGAATGGATGAAACTGAACAGTACATTCTCTACATAGAACCAAAAGTGTCTAGCACAGGGGGCTGGCCCCATGGCCTAGTGGTTAAGTTCAGTGTGCTCCATTTCAGTGGCCCAGGTTCAGATCCCGGGCATGGACGTACACTGTTTGTTGGCGGCCATGCTGTCGTGGTGACCCACATACAAAACAGAGGGAGATTGGCACAGATGTTAGCTCAGGGAGAATCTTCGTCAGCAAAAAAAAAAAAAAAAAAAAAAGCGTTTAGCACAGAATTAAAGATAAATCAGGCTTTCTCATCAAACTTACTTAATCACATAATCTTAATTTTAATAAGGCTCAGGCAGAGCACCATTAAAAATAAGCAGAAGTTAACGTGTAGATGATGATATATAAAAATTACCTGCAATCTGTAGGATAACTTTAAATATGACTATTGTATCTCTGAATTTACTTAGAACACATCAATCTATCAGCTTGCAAAGATTAATTTCTAAGTTTATTAAATAGCAGATTAAGCAGGTTAGCTCCTCATGTATGCTACCAGTACTCCCCTAAATGAAACCACCAGATATTTAGTGATCTACTTCCTACAATGTAAAGGTAATATAAATAAATTATTAAGCCAACTCATAAAAACACAACATGTACTTAATAAATGCAACTACTAATATCCAGAGATTGTCACTTAATCTGTGTGTCTATGTATGTACGCGTTTGTGTGCCACACAGTTTTGTGTAATTTACTTAATTTTAAGAATCCAAATTCACTATTGGGTCTGGAATTATTTCAACAGAAAACAAAACAAAACTTTAGAAAAGATTCCCAGGCCTTGCTACTTTCAGAGAGTGAATGAACTTGTCTAGAATGAGTCTCTGAAATCCTTGTTTTTAAGAAGCACCCAGGTAATTATGATACAGGGGGTTCAAAAACTACACTTTGAGAAATACTGGCTTATACCAGATATACATTTTAACTAAGTCTTTTAAAAACATATTGAGAAATATTCATAGATTATAGAAAACTGTTTTAAATAATAGTATTATATATGGGTTAAGTAGAAAACATATTTTCTTTATTCAAATCATGTTGACTTTCAGTATATTTTGAAATGACACACAGAGTCATAGCAAAGCTATATTTTAATTTCATCACATTCCACTCTAAATTATTTACCATTTACCAAAAATAACTTTTTATAAAGCTTACTATTTTGTCTAATATTATACAGACTATCAATCTACACCTTTTTCTGTGTTTCTCTGAAAAATTAGAATAGCTTATGAGGATATTATACAAAACTAATTGGTATATTACACACCAAACATAAGTACAGATTCTGTACAATGCAATTGTATACATATATATTACAAGAGACTAAATGCCTTGTTAAAAGTAATAGTTTAAGAAATCTTTCATGGAAAAAATCTGCATCACAGACTGTGGTGGCTTAAGGATCAGCTGCTTTCCTCTCATGAATTTCTTTCAAGTGGGCATTAACTGTCCATTTAGCTTGATTAACAGTTTTATCACGAGGCCAGCCTACAAAGTAAAATATATGTCAACAATAAATGTGAAACATGTAAGAATGTATAAACGACATACATGACAGTGGGTAGTTCCCTATCTATTTGAAAAGGAACTTTCTCCTCAGGAGGCAGCTTATCAAGAATAGAGGGTATTTACTCAGGCTTCTGAAGGGATTTAAGAAGCAACCTGCTGGATGCAACTAGTGGCTCAGATTAGAAACTGGTCAAGAAGAGGTAAAGGACTACCTAATACCTTGATAGAAGAGATAGGAATACTGACCAGAATTAAAGGAAATGGTAAAAAAAAAGAGTTTCATTGTTATAAGACTGAAATAAATTATTCAGATAATTTCTAAAGTTTCTGGCTTTGGGGCTGGCCCCGTGGCCGAGTGGTTAAGTTCGCGCGCTCCGCTGCAGGCTACCCAGTGTTTCGTTGGTTCGAATCCTGAGCACGGACATGGCACTGCTCATCAAGCCACGCTGAGGCAGCGTCCCACGTGCCACAACTAGAAGGACCCACAACGAAGAATATACAACTATGTACCGGGGGGCTTTGGGGAGAAAAAGGAAAAAAATAAAATCTTAAATAAATAAATAAAGTTTCTGGCTTTGTTTGCTTAGGAAAGGCCTTTTTTCCTTGGTCTTAACTATTTCAATTTCATGTACTATTAGAGGTTTTCCTTTAAGTAAAATGGATTGTCATATTTTTAAAAAGAAATAACTTTACTAATACAGTACTTCATTATTAGAAGTCCAGAATAATTGATAATTACTTACCTGTTTTGTGTGTACTATAAAGCTCATTTTATTTTCCATACTGTGGATCTGAAAACACGTATCAGCATCTCCCAATTGCCACATAAAACAACCATACTTAAGGCTGAGAAGTAAAGCCTGCAACATAATTAGAAATCATTATATTGAAATATATATTAAAAACAACACCTATCTTCTCTTACTATCCACATTTACCTAGTCACGTCTAAACATAATAATTTTGAATGTTAGAATAAAACTTAATCAAAGCGCCCACACTAACCTCACAAAGCCCACAGTACAGAGCCACATATATGGTAGACTCTCAGGAGACCACCTTAAGCAATGATATTCTTTTTATCAGGGTGACAAAAATTTTTAAAGATACTCATTTTATGATGTGTATGTGTATATATGTATACACACACACACAAATATTTAGCCATGAGAAATAAGGAAATCCTGCCATTTGTGACAACATGGATGGACCTTGAGGGCATTATGCTAAGTGAAATAAGTCAGACAAAGAAAGGCAAATACTATAGGACATCACTTATATGTGGAATCTTTTTAAGCCAAACTCAGGGGCTGGTGGGTGGAGAAAATCAAGGAAACGCTGGTCAAAGAGTACAAACTTTCAGCTGTAAGATGAGTAAGTTCTGGGGATCTAACGCACAGCATGAGGATTATAGTTAATAATACTGTATATACTTGAAAGTTGCTAAGAGAGTAGATCTTAAATATTCTCACCACAAAAAAGAAATGGTAATTATGTGATGTGATGGATGGAGGTGTTAGTTAACGCCATGGTGGTAATCATTTTGCAATATATATAAGTGTATCCAATCAACGCATTGTACACCTTAAACTTACATGATGTTATATGTCAATTATATTTCAGTTAAAGCTGGGAGTAAAACGATGCCCATTCTATGAGTGACTTTCAAGAAAACGTAAATGTACTACAAGTTTTTACTTTCACCATGTTAAAAACAATTCCTTTTACTTTATTCAATACCTTTTGAATATTCACATAGGACTTTCAGATCTGAAATTTATGTAATAGGGGTAATATGTTGACTTAGGCAATTTCATCTCACTGAAAATAAGTACACTGATATACTTACTGTAAAAATAAGCAGAATTAAAAAAATTAATAATATATCCTTCATAAATTCAACAGAACTATTTAAAAAACAATGCTAGAGTAACCTATTCCTATACTTCTCTAACATAATGGTATATTTAAGTACACATTCAATATATCCTTTTGATTATTTTTTAAGTAATTCTTTCCTAGCAGTAACTTGTATTTTCTTGCCCTAAAAATATATTCTTTGTAAACATATATACAAAGAAAGTGTTCATGCTATCCTTTAAAATATGTATGTTTAGAAAATATTAGCTTTCTATGACTAGCAATTCTTAACATATTGATTATAAATAATAAACTAAGGATAAACCCAAAAGATAAAGGTTTAGGGCATTTTTTAAGTGAGGTTCTGTAAATGACACACTATAATTAATTCACATGACTGTATATCATGTATAATGGGAAACTAATAACATCTTGTTTAAAAATAGCTAGTTGGGGCTGGCCTGGTGGCCAAGTGGTTAAGTTCGCGCGCTCCGCTGCAGGCGGCCCAGTGTTTTGTTGGTTCGAATCCTGGGCGTGGACATGGCACTGCTCATCAAACCACGCTGAGGCAGCATTCCACATACCACAACTAGAAGGACCCACAACGAAGAATATACAACTATGTACCAGGGGTCTTTGGGGAGAAAAGGGAAAAAAAAAAAAAATCTTTAAAAAAATAAAAATAAAAATAGCTAGTTATATTTATATTGTAAAATAAAATTAAGTAAAGAGGATATGCTAAAAGAGCTACTTACCAAGGTACACACTGAAACACTGAGTCAAGATATCGTTAATACCTTACACTGCCTATCTTTTGGATCAGTCACTTCAAATTTGATTAATCAAGAGGCAAGAAATAGTCTATTAATATGGCCTCAAAACAGTTTAATATACAGAAAAAATACATGTGTAGTAACAGCAACTTCTCAATTACACGGAGGTCAAATTACCCACAAAAGTAGAGGCCATAAGTTAAAAATAAAGATTTTATTGTTATAGGACAATATGCACAGAGGAAGGAATTCTTGAGAAATCTATAATAATGAAAACAGCTGAATGGAGCTGAAAAGCCAAAGAGTTTACCTGGTGGTTTTGAGAGATCAATCTGCTCCAGAAGGAAAAAGGAGCTCTCATTAGAAGGTAAAACCTACAAAGGGCAAGGTGCTTAATGCGGGAAGTCAAAAAACACAAGAGAAATGGCAGAGAGAATTGAAAGCAGAAAACGGAAAATCAGAGTCAGAAGCAGCATACAGCTGACCAGGAGAGACGAGAAATAGTGATGTTGACAAATGATCACGAAGAATGGCACTATGTGGGTATTTAAATAACCAGTTTTATTTCAGAAGGGCATTATGGTCAACATGAACTGATATCAGCAAAGAGTAATCTATTGCCTAGATGTGGCAGTGTTACCGTAAGGTTGAAGATACATCAACAAGTACAGTTCAATTATGAAGACTGCAATACTCTCACTATAGTAAAACAATGAACCACAACACAGCACATTTATCTATTCAGAAGTGTCTACATTGTGTGTAAGTAGAACAGACAAGTCTCTGATGAGCATATGAAATTGGCTGAGCTATATTTTCTGATGGGTAACTTTCATTATTTCAAATAGAAACAAAATACAGAAGATAGAAGTAATTGAAAAAAAAAACCACAGCTGTATTCTATGGCTTTACCTGAGACTAATCTCTGAGGCTAATATATACCATGTAGAGTCTTAAATGCAAATGAAGGTATTTTGGCAGATGAAGATGTTTATTTAAGCAAGCTTGTCAAATTCAACCCTAACAGATCCTGGTGAATCTAAGACAACTGAGGACAAGCTGATTGTTCCCATCTCTGATGATCCAAAAATGTAATCATCTTAGAGCTTTTCACAGGTGCTATAAATTTATCAGTGGCTTACAGAGCACAAGATAATGAATATATGGACAAAAACTATCATTACCCTTGGGTTCAATCACCTTTTTATATATCTGAAGATAGCATTTTTATTTCTATTTCTAGAAATTGAACATCTTATCCTGAAAAAGCACACCATTAACTAACAATATTGTTATCATCCTCTACCTGTTACTGCTACCTCACTTACTTAATTCCTGGACTAGAACGTTATTCATAATATGAAATGTTATGATATTTTGAACCATCATTTGAATATTACATAAAACTTTTTATTGTTGTCTAAACTTGGAATGCTACCAAAAGTCAGACATAAAATTTAGTTTAGAAAAACGGCTCAGTGTTATACCCACAGCAGCACCATTCAGTTCAATGAAGAAAGATTTGCAGATAAAGGTATAAAATGTTCTGAAACAACAGAGGAAAAATTTCTTAAAATGGTGAGAACTTCTCCTTCATTTCCTTTAAGAAACTTAGTACAACAGAAACAGAAAAGTGTTTACAAGCTAATAAGAAGTAGCCTATCTTGTGAGTGTGAAATACTTTAAATAGAAAATAGTAAGAAAACGACCCAAAGCAAGCTGACAACAGAGACTTCAAAAAATCAAGTTCCATGGGGCCGACCCCGTGGCCGAGTGGTTAAGTTTGTGTGCTCTGCTTCAGCGGCCCAGGGTTTCGCCGGTTTGGATCCTGGGTGCGGACATGGTGCCACTCATTAGGCCACGCTGAGGCAGCATCCCATATGCCACAACTAGCAGGACCCACAACTAGAATATACAACTATGTACTGGGGGGTATGTGGGGAGAAAAAGCAGGGCAAAAAACAAAAAGAAGATTGTCAACAGTTGTTGGCTCAGGTGCCAATCTTTAAAAAGAAAAAAAAATCAAGTTTCAAGTCAATTAGTGAAGTCAGTCCCTATTCAGCCCTATGTCCCTATACATTCTCTATCTCCATTAACAGGCATATCTAACAGCATGGTAAAACAACTGTGGCCCCTAAGGAGGATCCTGAGGTGTCATGAAATGTCAAACCTGCAACAGGAATACTTTCATAAAGACCTCTAAAAATGATGAAAATAATAACTAGGCTTATGGGGCTGGCCCGGTGGCATAGTGATTAAGTTCGCATGCTCCGCTTTGATGGCCTGGGGTTGGCAGGTTCAGATCCCAGGTGTGGACCTAGCACTGCTCGTCAACCCACACTGTGGCAGCATCCCACATCAAACAGAGGAAGTTTGGCACAGATGTTAGCAACTATCTTCCTCAAGCAAAAAGAGGAGGATTGGCAGCAGACGTTAGGTCAGAGCCACTCTTCCTTACCCCTTCCCCCCAAAAATTAAGCTTATGATGAAATTTCCTAATCTAAAATCCCTTTTTAAATGCAAAAGCTTAGTTACTTTAAGTGATTTGGAAAATGGTTTATTCTTGACAAATCTGAATGAACAAAATAGATTTGATTTTTTATTAGCTTATTACAAACTAGAAAGCTGTTTACCCTGTAAAATGTGCTAGATATGCTAAAAATAATTGATAACCCCATATTTTATATTATAGTGACTTTGATTAGAAAAAGGAGTACAACACAGTAACAAGCCTCTGACTGAAAAGTTCTGAAGTATTCTAATGGGTATTCACAATCCCTTCCACACTTCATCCTGCCCCCCAAAAGGTTCTTGTAACTAATTCTAATTTTCAAAATGAAGCCTTTGTGTCAGCTATTTATTGTATATTTGCATTTTTTTATTTAAATCGAATTGATTTTTTTTTCCTTTTTTTTTTTCCCTTTTTCTCCCCAAAGCCCCCCAGTACATAGTTGTATATTCTTTGTTGTGGGTCCTTCTAGTTGTAGCATGTGGGACGCTGCCTCAGCGTGGTTTGATGAGCAGTGCCATGTCCGTGCCCAGGATTCGAACCAACGAAACACTGGGCCGCCTGCAGCGGAGCGCACAGACTTAACCACTCAGCCACGGGGCCAGTCCCTCGAATTGATTTTTAAAATAAGTAATATAATCACAGTTAAAATTGTTTTTAAGTTGTAAAATGGTATATATGAAAAGTCTCCTTCCTACTCTGTTCCCAGTTACCTATTTCCCTTCTCTAAGGGCTTCAAGAGACATTTTATGCATACACAAGCAATACCTATTTATGTAAATACAGTCTTCACTCACCTCTATTTTTTTACTGAGGTATATTTTAACATATAACATTACATTAGTTTCAGGTGTACAACATGATGATTCAATATTTGTATACGCTGCAAAATGATCACCACAATAAGTCTCTAGTTAACATCTGTCACCATACATAGTTAAGAAAGTGTTGTGTGTGATGAGGAACTGTAAGATCTACTCTCTTAGTAACTTTCAAATATGCAATACAGTATTATTAACTATCGTCACCATACTGTACATTACATCCCCAGGACTTATTTATTTTATAACTGGAAGTTTGTACCTTTTGACCCCCTTCACCCATTTCACCCACCCCCTACTCTCTGCCTCTGGCAATCACCAATCTGTTCTCTGTATCTATGAGCTTAGTTTTTTTGTTTCTTTTTAAAGATTCTACATATAAGTGAGATTATATGGCATTTGTTTTTCTCTGTCTAACTTATACTACTTAGAATAATGCCCTCAGGGTCCATCCTTGTTGCAAATGGCAAGATTTCTTTCTTTTTTATGGCTGAACAATATTCCATTGCATATATATACACAGAGAATCTTTATCCATTCATCCACTGATGGACACTTAGGTTCTTTCCATGTCTTGGCTATTGTAAATACTGCTGCAATAATCATGGTGGTGTATATATCTTTTTTAGTGTTTTCGTTTTCTTGGAATAACTTCTTCTCATTTTTATACAAATGGTAATATGTTATATATGGTTCGGCACTTTGCTTTTTCACGACATATACCTTGGGAGATCATTCTACACAAAAATATTCTTCATTCTTTTGTATGGCTGCAAGGTATTTCAATGCAGAAATGTATTATAATTAATATGTTAACTCCCTACTGATAACCATTTAGTTTTTGCCCCCCATCCACTGCTATTATAAATGAAACTGCAATGAATACTTTTGTATATAGGCCATTTCTAGATTTTTCATGTAGGTTGGTACCATTATTTAGATATTACATAATGTGACTGGTCAAAAACCAGGGGAAAAGCTGAAAATCTACCTTAGTTTCCATGTTTAGGAGATGAAGTCCTTTTATATTCACTCCTACATACACAGGGATGACTTTATGATTGCTGGGGCTTGCCTTTGTAAATATCTGTCCTGTGAAAAAAGCTGCTCCGTATGTAGGAATTTCCCAACAATTCTGTAAGAACATGCGCTGAAGGTGATGCATTTCTTTACTGACACCCTCACTTGTACTAAGATTCTAAAAACAAAGTAAAATAGAGATGTGAAAGGAGAACATACCTTTGACAGTCCAAATAGGTCAACTAGGCAGTTTTTAAAATCAAGGCTGCCCCCAAAGAAGAATAAAATTGTGTGACATTATCTCAAGAGCAATTTTAATTTTGAGATCTTATATAAAAGAAATATCAAGGGCTAAAAATACTGTCTATTCTATTAAGTTTTTTAAGTGCCTCTTGGACAGAAATAGTGTATTATTTCATATTTTTAAAATCTCTAGCCCTTACCATAATATCCAGCATATAGAAGGTCTTTAGCAAAAGATTCTACATTATTAAAAATAAAAATATCTTGCTACTTTGTTTCAGCTATGTGTGAACTAAAATAACCATTTTTAATTTCAAGACTACATATTTAATGTACCTATGTTTAAAATATTAATCATAGCAACACAATTTCAACAAGCCTATAAAATGTCTTTGTATTTCTATGAAATAGCTTACCTTGTATTCATGAAGTATTCGGTTTGTCCAGTGAGGTGCCTTACTTTTCAATTTGGTAACAGGTACAATAGATTTTAGATTTTCTTCACTGTAAGCAAACATGCCGACATCTTTTAAAACAATCATCTTTAGTAGCTAAAGTAATATAATCATTTAGACACAAATGGCTTTAAGGTAACATGATTTTTAGCTGAAAAATACTAGGTTGTAAAATATCAGAGAACTCTAAAAATTTAAAGCAAAAAGCCACAATGCTAACAATGCTCTACTTAGAGAAATATTTCTTCTTTCAATAATCACAAAATATTTTTGAAAATTGAAAACCACAAAAAATAAATTTCAGTGTTTTCTTTCAACATGAAACATGAAACTAGTTTTTGTGGTGGGATTCTTAAATGCATCTGCCTTACAAATAACATTTTTCTACTTATTCGGGCCAGGTTTTAGTGAACTTATTTAAACAAATAGTTAAGAAAGAGAAACTTTAAAAGTATAAGGTATGTCAAACTACAGTCAAATATAAGAAAAAGAATTTTGGAGAGAGTATAACTTAAAGAATGCTTTGCCATAGTTTTTTTTTTTTTCTCATTCCATGTCTTATATTATTTAATTCCAAACCAATGTATAAGTATTTCTTAATAACATATTTCTAAACTTTCTTGGTTAAACTAAATCTTGAACATAGCATAAGACCATGCATTATATTAAATACTTACTTTAGGAAACCTTGCTTGTGTTTCTTACTCTCATAATTTCCATAAACTATTTGCAACAGTAGACTTGCCAATGTTATTAGTTTGGCATCAGGAGCTGTATAAAAGCCCTTCAATAAATTATATCTGGCTTCGTCGAAGAGAATAAGAATAGCTAGTGGGTCTTCAATCTTAAAAGAAAAAGTATAATGTGGTTATTAGGCTACAATTTCCTGTTACAAATGTACAACTTGTCATTATCTAACATGGAAAAGCAAAAGCTACATATTTATATAGAAATGAACTGTTATTGTTTTAGAGCAGGGATTGACAAATTTTTTTCTATTAAGGATCAGATAGTATTACTTTAAGCTTTGTGAGCCATTCAGTCTCTGTTACAACTACTCAACTCTGCTAATGTAGCGCAAATGCAGCCACAGACAATACATCAACAAATGGGTGTAGTGTTGTTCTACTAAAACTTTATATGTGGATACTGAAACTTGAATTTCACAAAATTTTCATGACATGAAATACGGTTCTTTAGAACTTTTTCAACCATTAATAACTTACAGGATATACAAAAATAGGCAACAGGTCAGATATGGCAATAGGCCATGGTTTGCTAACCTCTGGTTTACAGTCTAATAAAATTATCATCAGTTTATGGATATGGATAATTTCTAGTACAATTTTACCTGAATTCTTTATATTCCTCAAACATTTTTCTATTATCTATGCTTCATACAATATAGTAGTGAACCTCAAAGAAGATAAAAGTGTATCAATTCCCAAAAGGGCACATGTAATTTAAAAAAAGCTTATTTTAAAACATTTTTTATTTGACTAAAAATACTTTGCACCTCCAAATAACATTAAAGGAGAGCATAAGGTTTTTTTTTTAAGTTTTAAAAACTTTAAAGTTTCACTTCACGTGGTAAGATTAACAAAGTTTGAAAAATGCTAGCCTATAGAATATATTTCTACTTGGAAAAAAATCACCAATTATAGAGTTTCTGAATGAATACTTAAAGTACTTCTAAATATAATCCACAATGATCCAAATTCTTTATGGTAAAAGTTATTTTGACATACTAACTAAAATAATCTTATAATACTCCATATGATATAAAAAAACAGAAATAGGACTTCCTAGGGAAAAAAAAAGATGAGGGGATTGTTCTAGATTAAGAGACTAAAGAGATCAAATGCAAAGCATGAACCTTGACTACATCCTACAGATGGGAGCTACAGAAGACTTTGAAGCACTTGAAGGAAATCTGAATATGGATCTGATATTAGATGTTATTATGAAAATATTAATTTTATTAGGTTGGAAATGGTACTGTAGTATGTAGGTAAATCCTTGTTCTTAAGAGGTGCATGTCAAATATGTAGGGATGAAGCGCCACGATGTCTGCAGCTCACTTTTAAATGGTTGACAAAGAGAAGGTGGAACAAATGTAGCAAAATGTTAACAATTAGCAAATTTAATGAATGGTGTATGATATGAATTTTACTACTTTTTCAAGCTTCCTATGGGTTTTCAATTTTTCAAAATTATTGGGAAAAAGAATGAAAGAACACCTATTTTTCTAAAAAAAAATTGACAGTGAATTTGAAGAATTTGAGAATAGTTATACTTCCTAATAGTATGTTCAGTGAATAGTCGTCAACAATTGTCATTTTTTAATGAAATCAGGCTATTTTCATCCTAAAAGAATGATGCCAACCAATAAATGCAATTTTTCTATTTCTCAGACAGTACAAATAGGAATTTCTTAATTACATAATGAGTGAAAGAACACTACTTTATCAGACTATCATGATATTCTGATTTACCTTAAGTACTTACTAAGCCTTGCTTCTTTATCACGTAAGCCCACTTTACAATACTTATAATTATGCAATTTATTGTCCAAGCAATATCATTATTGCTTTTTCTCTACTAGCCAACTTTTAAAATACTACTTGAGGTAGAGAAGGCAGAGAAGGAAGACAGACTGAGAACACAAATTATTTGCAGATTTCATGAACCTAGTACATTTTTTAAAACTGTGATAAAATACACTTAACAAAAAATTTGCGATTTTAACCATTTTTAAACATACAGTTCAGTGGCATTAATTACATTCACAATGTTGTGCAACCACCACCATTATTTCCACAACTTTTGCATCACCCAAACAGAACTTCTATAACCATTAAGCAATAACTCCTCATTCTCTCTCTGCCGCCGCACCTGTGGTAACCACTAATCTACTCTGTCTTTACGAATTTGCCTGTTCTAGGTATTTAATATAAGTAGAATCATACAGTATTTGTCTTTTTGTGTCTGGCTTATTTCACTTAGCATGTTTTCATTCATGTAGAACTTAATTCCTTTTTATGGCTGAATAATATTCCACCGTATGTATATCCTACATTTTGTTTATCCATTCATCTGCTGATGGACACTTAGTTTGTTTTCACTTTTTTGGCTATTATGAATAATGCTGCTATGAACAACGGCATACAGGTATCTGTTTGACTTCTTGTTTTCAATTCTGTAGGTATATACCAAGGCATGGAACTGCTGGATCATAGGCTAATTCTATGTTTAGTTTTTTTGAACAACCAGTAAACTGTTTTCCACAGTGGTTGCATCACTTTAAACTCCTACCTTGCAATGTACAAGAGTTCCTATTTCTCTACATTCTCACCAATACTCGTCATTTTCCTTTATAAATTTTTATTATTACAGTCATCCTAGTAGGTGTGAAGCGGTTTCTCAAGTTTTGATGTGCTTTTCCCTAATGACTACTGATGTTGAGCATCTTTTCATGTACTTGTTGGCCATTTGTATATCTTCACTGGAGAAATGTGATTCAAATTCTTTGCCCAATTTAACCGGGTTGTCTTTTTGTTGTTAAGTTGCAGGAGTTCTTTATATATTTTGGGTAGTAAACCCTTATATGATTTGCAAATATTTTCTGCCATTCTATAGGTTGTCTTTTCACTTTCTTGATCATGTTCTTTGATTTACAAATGTTTTTAATTTTGATGAAGTTCAATTTATCTATTTTTTTTTTTATTCTTATGTTTTTGGTGTCATATCTAAACATCCACTGACAAATCTAGGGTGATGAAGATTTACCCATATGTTTTCTTGTAAGACTTTTATGATTTTAGCTCCTACATTAAGGCTATTGATACATTGAGTTAATTTCTGTATATGTTGTGAGATCAGGGTCCAATTTCATGTACCATCTTTTGAAGACACTAGATATGGACTTGAGTATCCTCAGATTTTGGTATCTGTGGAGGGGTCCTGGAACTAATCCCCTGTGAATATTGAGGGACAACTATATTCTTTCTTCACTGGATGGACTTGAAACCTTTGTCAAAAAGCAACTGGCCATAGATACATGGGTTTATTTCAGGACTCTCAATTCTATTTTGTTGGTCTATATGTCTATCTTATGCCAGTACCACATTGTTTTCATTACTGTAGCTTTGCAGTAAGTTTGGAAATGGGGAAATGTGTATCCCTCAACTTTGTTCTTCTTTTTCAAGATTGTTTTGGATATTCAAGGCCCTTTGCAATTCCATATGAATCTGAGGATTGCCCTTTCCATTTGTGCAAAAAAGTCTGTTGGAATTTTGTTAGGGATTGCATTGAATTGGCAGATCACTTTGTTAGTACTGACATCTTAACAATATTAACTTATCCCTGAACATGGGATGTCTTTCCAGTTACTTAGGTCTTTAATTTCTCTCAGTAATGTTTTTGCAGTTTTCAATGTACAAGTCTTGCACCTCTTTTGTTAAATTTATTCCTAGGTATTTTATTCTTTTAGACGCTATTTTAATGTATTTCTTAATTTCCTTTTTGGGATTGTTTGTTTCTAGTTTAGAAACAACTGATTTTTGTATTTTAACCTTATACTCTGCAACTTTGCTAAACCCATTTATGAGCTCTAGCAGCTTTCTTGTGGATTCTTTGGGATTTCTTATACATATAAGATTATGTCATTTGTGAACAAAGATAGTTTTATTTTTTCCTTTTCAATTTGGATGCCGTTTATTTCTTTTGTTCTTTCTTTTCTTTTTTTTTTTTTGGTCTAATTGCTCTGGCTAGAGCTTCCAGTAGTATATTAAATAGCAGTGGTAAAAGCAGGCATCCTTGTCTTGTTCCAGATCTTAGAAGGAAAGCTTTCAGTCTTTCACCATCAAGTACAATGGCACCATCAAGCACAATTTATGAAAAATGGTTTTTCATAAACGCCATTTATCATATTGAGGAAGTTTCTATTTCTAGTTTTCTGAGAGTTTTATCATGGAAAGGTATTGAATTTTGTCAAATGCCTTTTCTGTGTCAACTGAGATAATTGTGAGGTTTTTTCTCCTTCATTCTATTTACGTGATTCTAATACATTTTCTATGAATAACCAAGATCTTAGTTTTTGGTAAATTTCATACAAATTTTTATATAACTCCCAACGTATCTGACTGAGAGGATCATATCTATCTTTAGTTTCATAATATTAGAAGGACAATATGAATAGTCAGACAGAAAACATTTACCAAGTTTGGACATGGTCACTGACATTTTCATGCACTGAAATTTGCTTAACCTTGTCTGTTTAATATTTCCTTGAATAAAGAATCAGGAAATGCATTAGGTATTTTTCTTCACCAAAGTTATGAGATCTTGGAACTCCCCCCGACTCCCCTCCCAATTTTCACAGCTACCACTGTATTTAGATTCTCATACCTAGTCTAACTTGTAATATCTCCCTTGGGTTTCTTCTTTGTCCATTCAGCCTTCAGATGTCATTATCTCACCTCTCCTCTAACATTTACAGTAACTAAAATCCAAACATACTTGTTTGGAACAGATCCTTCTATGAAATGTAAATTCTATTCTCATTTGTTACTGTCTATATGATTCTTTGCTTGAGTTGAGAACAACTACTAACTGACTGTTGAGAATAACTTTTTATGTCCTTTTTGCAAATACAATCTTTTCTACCTAGAATGTTTTTTCTGTTTTCCCTCCAGACCAACATATCTCTTTGTTCCTTTGAAATTTACACAACTGATTAGCCCTTTATTAAGTTTATCTTTGACACTACACTTCCTTTAAAGCTATTCTAAAATTTTCTGTATAATCTGTCTCTTCTCTGCTTGCAAATTCTCTTTACGATCCATTCTTTATTTCTTTTATATTCTAAGACAATGGAGGTGGAAATGGAATAGCCAATCAGGGGCTCTGTAAGTAGACTGACTCAAACTCTACCACTTACACCACAGGGATGTCAGGAGTGAATGGAACAACAGAAGTAAAATTCCTCTATACAGGAAGAGCACAATTTCTGCCTCTAGTGCCTACAACAGGAAATCAATAGATTCTGTACATTTAAATGACTACAAATAAGATTTCCAAGCAAACCTTTTTTTCAACTTCCAAAGGAAGTCTCACATCTCTTCTTAGGAAAAGCTGTGGTGTTTCCCTTTGAGGATCCAAATTAGTCAATTCAGCAAGTATTTCTGGCCAGTCACGAACATGTTGCAAGGGTTTATGATAAGGCTTGAGTTGAAGGCCTGAAAAACATCTTTCCTTTTATTAATGATAATGTAAAAATAAATCAATTACATCAACACAGAAACTCTGTATCAAACTCTCTGCACTTAGGTACTGAGTACACACAAATTAAAGGTCTAAATTTAAAACAACATTGACTTTAGTTAATATTACTACCCAATTTGAGGTTAATTGCTTTTGTTTTTAAGAATATAAGAATTATGATGGGCCGGTCCCGTGGCTGAGTGGTTAAGTTCACACACTTTGCTTCAGCGGCCCAGGGTTTCGCTGGTTCAGATCCTGGGTGTGGACATGGCACCACTCATCAGGCCATGTTGAGGTGATGTCCCACATGCCACAATTAGAATATACAGCTATGTACTGGGGGGATTTGTGGAGAAAAAGCAGAAAAAAATCTTTTTTTTTTATTATAAAAGTAAAAACTTAAAAACTTAAAAAAAAGAATTATGAAAATAATTCTTAAATAAAATTTATTAAATGTATTTAAGATCCTTAATTCCACGATAGCCTATTTAACTATGATACAATTAGGAGAATTTGGTGTTTAAAAAAATACAATTAAACTATTAGATAACCAATCACAACTATCTCAATTAAATCCCTTATGTATCTGAAATTCTTTGTCTGAGAGACAAATCTATAGTGACATTAGGTTGGTTTTAAATAAAAATACCTGATAGAAAACTAATATAAAGAAAAAGAACATTTGTATTATTTTGAGGTGAGGTGAACAATGAAAATAAAGGCAAGTTGGACAACTACATTTAAGGGCATTCTTATCAAATTCCATTGCCAGAGAAGGAATGTTTTGGCTTTTACCACTTAAAACACTGTCTGAGGCAGGGGGTGGGGTAGGCCCAGAGGCTTACCTATTTCAGCAGTTTGAACACTAACAATTTACATAACAGAGAACATTATATCATTTCAAAATTTATAAGTCAATAGTAAACTGATGCTATACTTAGGTCTACCAAGCCACTCTCAAAAAGGAATAATGAGGTTTACATAACAGAATAAGAACTTTCTTACTGAGGTTTTCTGAACAGATCCAAATAGTGAAATATTGTTGTGTTTCTTGAGAGAGACGCATTCCTTCCATTATCTGCTGCACTGTGGTATTATTTCCATGTTTCAGTTCGACAGAACGGTATGACCCATCCATTCTGTATATTCGAACTTTTTCATACTAGGACAAACAATGATAATAAATTATGCACCCTGGTTAGAAATTATACATTCCAATCCAACAAAATGCTTTAATTTCATCTGCCTTATTATAGATTTCTAACATGGAAAATATCAGAAAAACTGTCTGAAATGACAATCTGCTGGCAATATTTTTAAAAATTTTACTTCTATTTTATATTTTCCAGTTTCCTCTGGATATACCATGGTCAAATAAGTTTGAGAAACTAAGGCAAATGGCTTTAAAAAAATATTCAACTGCAGAATCTTGTGGGAGGATATTTTAAAGCCATTAATGTACAATGTAAATATTATATGGGGGATACAGACTCGATTAACTAAATCCGGCATTAGTGAAGTACCTCATAAGTCCAGTGGGCCACAAACTATACTGTAGAAACGTGTACCAGCAATAATTTGTCCTAAGAGGAAAGTGTGATGGAAGACTCTGCAGGTAAAAGCTATGGAACAATGGACCTTAAGCCAAGTTTTTTTTCTCCAGTTCAGAAAATTCCAGAGAGAAATGACATTCTCAATACATTTTTATTGTTATGGGAAGTAACTAATGCCTCTAAACTTCCAGAACAGTTCACTTTGGATAAAAGTACCTAATTCCTCTTACCATATACATTTACATATAAAACTTACGCCAGGAATAAAAGTGTGTTCTAACTATACAGTTAGAAAATAAACTGCAATGAAGTATAACATAAAGGTGCCTGTACTGCTTATCTATTTCCTTGTGTTTGTCTTGTGCTCATGGAAAAGTGTTTTGACAAAATGTGTATGAGTGGGTAATTTTCCTTACAGGCAGAGATCATATATTTATTCTTTATCATTTAACACTTTCAGCATTTCATGGTGTTAAATTCACAGAAACACTCAATAAATACTTATTGTCTAGTTGATGGGAATGTTTGTAAAGGCTCAGACATAATATGGGCTGTTGATATCAAGCTTTATCCTTCATCTGTTGATACAAATCCTTCTATCTGGTTTGCAAGTTTTCAAACAGTTTTTAAATTGATGACAGTTTTGTTGTCACTATAACTTTTAGGCATAACTGAGTTTATTCTAACTGTTAATACTTCTCTATCTTAATGTCACTGCTTATTATTTCAGACATAATTAGATGGAAAGGCCAGGTTGAACTGGCAGAATAAAAGAGCTAAGAAATCTCCTATTTTAACCCATTCACTTTCTTGAGCAGGAAAATGAATCTGTAATAGATAAGTTACTTGCTGAAACTAAATTAATGAATGATGTGTAACATTATTTACAAATATGAAATATTGCTTAGAAGGTCTAAGTAGAGAGATATGCTTCAATAAATAGATTACAATTTGTAATTAGCACATCAAGTATAGAGATTATACTGGAAATTAGATAAATTTCAGGTGATTGAAAAATTTATTTATTTATGTAAGTTTTATTCTGTTATACAAAAACAAGTGTCCAAATGTTAGGGAGGATAACAAATTGAATACCTATAAAGTCTAACCATGAGTTTTATAAAAGCAGTAAAGAAGCTATCCATCCATGCATCCTTCTACTCTTGTCACAGATCTTCAAATTACTTATCAATTTAAATACGACGCTTGGCTTTATTTATGAAAATAATTCTTACTGGTTTGTTAATGGCTTCCTTCAATAATTTTGCAGCTTCTTCCCAATTATTTTGTTTGTTTTCTTCACAAATATTTAAAGGGGATCTTCCTTGTTGGTCTGTTATGTGCTGGAAATGTGGGGGCGGGGAAGGATAAAGAAAGATAGGCATTACACATAGACTGTGTTCTAAGGGAAAATATCAATCAATCAAAGTTTCATAAACAGACTCGTCTAGTAGTAAGTAAATATTAACCCTACCTAGACATGCTATACTCAAAATAAACATGACGTGCCAAAGATGAAAGACTCAAAGCACTATTCAATGTGACTGTTTTTTTAAAAAGTTCTGATTATAGACACAACGAAGATTTTGTTAATGCTATTATTTTTCCCTTTACAAAATACTTGTTAACACAAATTCTAGAAAACGGGTAGAACATCTTTTTCCTTCTTAAAAATATTTTTTAGGAAATACAATATAAAAGGAAAAGATGTTAAATTTTATGTACATTGTGGGATGGATGGTGGTGATGGCTGCACGACAATGTGAAGGTACTTAATAACACTGGACTTTACATCTAAAAATGGTTAAAATGGTACATTTTATGTGAGGTATATTTTACCACAATACAATAATTATGTACAAAAGCAAAGTTTATACACAAATATTATTTATTCTATATATTAAGTGAAATTTGTTTTTATTTTTCAGCTGCTCTCTTAAGTACATAATTTAACATTAAAAAAAAGAAAACCTGGAAAATCACTTACTCTGTCAACTTCTGGATGGTTTAGGAGAATCTGTACTATTTCAGCATGGCCTCCTCCAGCAGCAAAATGAAGAGGAGAACTAAGCTGCCCATTTAAAAGGTTTGGATTGCACTTTCCTTTCTCTAATAATATGCGAGTGGCCTCAACTTTTCCATACCTATACAAAAGTAAACACACCTAAAAAAGTCATCTGAAATGTTTTAAACATCCAAACTTTAGGCAACATCTCAAAGAAATCTAAGATTTTTCCAGGGCAGAGAGCAAGGAATTAAGACATTGCTATAAATGTTTCCAGTGCCTAGGGATTTCTTATGAATTATTCAGTTCAGTTTGACTCTTTCTATTTCTGATCAACTGGGAGAAAATAAAATTTCAAATACAAGATAGAGCAGCTGATAGCAGATCACTGCACACAAAGCAAAAAATTATAAATTAGAGAGAGAAAATTTTTAGTCAGAAATATGCTCAGAATCAGAGAGTAACTCATAAAACTAACAATGCTTTTCACTTGGGCCTGTGATTTACAAAATAGGCCGAAGACATAATTCTATATGTAGCTGATACAGCAGTATCAGGCAACATGAGAGACACAAAGGTATGTGCTCTAATAAAGATATATAATGTAATTGGAGAAGTAAAACAAAAACATGGGATAGGGGCTGGCCCAGTGGTGTAGTGGTTAAGTTTGTGCGCTCTGCTTCAGTGCCCTGGGGTTTGCAGGTTCGGATCGTGGGCACAGACCTAGCACTGCTCATCAAGCCATGCTTTGGTGGTATCCCACATAAAGCAGAGGAGGATTGGGACAGATTTTAGCTCAGCAACAATCTTCCTCAAGCAAAAGGAGGAAGATAGGCAACAGCTCAGGGCCAATCTTCCTCACAAAAAAACCAAAAAAACCCCCATGGGATAAATTACACAGTGTTGTAAAATTTAAGTAACAGTTTAGGATAACAATCAACAAAATAAGGCACTATATATTTGTCAAATCAAAATAGTATATATTAATGCTTTAAAAAAATGTCAGAAAAGGAAGATATGATTTCAGTCTAAAATGGTCCTGAAAAATCTTTTGATACAGAACAATCTGAACTGGATTTTAAATGGGAAGAAACTGAAGAGATGTCGAAGAGAGGTAAAATATTTTACGTAGTGGGAAAACGAGTGTGCAAAGCAAGGACCAGGAGAACACAAAGCATGTGCCAGACAAAGTGAGTCCATCATACGGTTACAGCCAAAAACTTATGTGAGGCTGCAATCTGAAGCAATGGTGGAAAAGTAATTCATTGTTTGGAAATAAATGGGTGGGAAGGAGGAAGGGGAAAGGAAATTTGCTTTTAGATTTGGTGCATTTGAGGGGAAACAGCGCATCTTTAGACGTGATCCAATTCGCCCTCAACTTCCTTCCTTCCCTTTCACATACCCTGTGGTTTTCCTATGCCCTGAACCTGCCACTTATAGACTACCCCTTCTTATACGTGTGACATTTTGCTCGTGTTCTTTGCTATTCTTGAGACGTCTTTTTCCTCCTCCTCATTTTGTCCAGGTTAAGCTCTATTATTTCTTTGGCATAGGTTAAATATCTACCTCCTCTATATTCCCACTACATTTTAGCTTCTTCTATGGGATTTACTTCATTTTACCTACTTTCATCCTTGTTTATATACATCTCTTCTCTATCAGCCTGAGAATTCCTTGAGAGTACAGACAGCGTATTTGCATTCTCCAAACTGCCATAAGCACAAAAATGAGTAACTAAGCTGTTCAGTAGGCAACTGAAAATGCAGCCATGGTACTCAGGAGGAAGGCAAAGGCTTGGGATATCTATCTGAGAATATACAAATTTATCTAACTGAAAAGAATACTGTTAAGGCTGGGAGAAAGGATGAAATCTTTCCGAGAGAGAATCTAGAGAAAGATGATCATCTTAGAACAATGAAATGCATCTTGAAAAACACTCTTTCAGGACAGGAAAAGATATTGAGGGGACAATTCAAGTAATAATAAAAATAATTAATACAAACATACATTTTGTATGATGCTCTAAAGTTTTCAAGGTACTTTCTTTCTTTTTTTTTTTTTTTTGCTGAGGAAGATTCACCCTGAGCTAACATCTGTGCCAATCTTCTTTTATTTTATTTAGATGTAGGTCACCGCCACAGCATGTCTGCAGGTAACCAGGTACCAAACCTGGCCCTCTGAAGCAGAGTGTGCCAAACTTAACCACTAGGCCACAGGGCAGGCACTGTCAAGGTACTTTCTTAAATAATTATTTAATATAATCTTCACAGCAACTTATAAGGCAGGCGGAGGGATTTTTATTGCATGCATGAGAAAAATAAAGCTTGAACCAGTTAAGTCACTTGCCCAAGATCTCAAGGTTACTAGTCAGGGTTAGAATCTAGTTTTCTGAATCTTAAGATAGCAGTTTCCATACTATAACACATGCTTGGGTCACAGAATGGAGGCCAGTATTTCAATATTAATAATGATAAGGTAACAATAATATCCTGCATTTGTACTGACCTTCATGCCCTCCGCTATGCCCTTTCAACTCCACTTTGTTCTTAGAACGAAAGGGTGGTCAATAGTATTAAATGCTGCAGAGCAGGGAAAGAGATTAAAAACTGAGAAAAGGTGAAGAAGTTTCATGAAGAGTGAAAAAGAAAGCAGTGAGTGTGGCCCACTCACCCTTGAAGTCTGGCTATGAAACAAAGGAAAGAAACAGAATAGTGGCTAGAAGAGGCAGCAGGTTCAAATTAAGGTTCTTTTCAAGGAGAGAGAGAACCATGTATGCTTGAAGGCAGGAAGAAAGAAATTGCAGAAAAGGAGAAAGTGAATTTAATGGGGAACAAAAGAAGTTTTACTTGTATACCCTACGATATAGGAGAGAGATGGGAACAAAAATTGATCATTGGGGTAGAGAAGAAGGACATTTCTGATGGCTTCAATTTTCTTTGACAACAAGGGGTAAAACTATCCGATGAGAATAGAGAAAGAAGTAGTGGGAGTTTAAGTGCTTAAGAGTAGAAAGGTCTAGAATAGCTTATAGGGGAGGACTAAAAGGCTCACAGGATGAATGAGACAAAGAGAACAGAGAGCTAACCTACAGTGAGGACCCAAATGAAATCAGATGGAATAATTTGTAGGGAGCCAAATGATCTTAGTTCCAAAACACTCTAACAATGATGTGAAGCCTAAAAGTACTATCACAGAGAGGACACTGACTTGAGAGAGGTGAGAAAACATGGGATGCCAATGAGGCATTTACTGAATGGCTGACAAGTTATCCATATGGAGAGAAAGCCAACTTAAACAGTTTTGGAAAATGGTGATTCTAGTAAAGAATAGATTTTAGGTACCTGGTTACAAATATGAGAATTTTAAAAGCTTGGAACAATCCTAGGAGTGATTTAATTAAGTGGTTCTCAAATAGTGGTCTGGGAACCCATGAGGATCCCTGAAATCTTTTCCAAGTGTCCTCCAGGTCAAACATATTTTCATAATAATACTAAGAAGTTATTTGCCCTTTCCATTCTCATTTTCTTCTAAGTGTACAGTGGAGTTTTGTAAAAGCTACATGACACGTAATACTGCAACAAATTAAAGGCAGAAGCAGACGTGAGAATCCAGCTATCTTCTATTTAGCTGGACAGCAAAGAGATTTGCAAGAATGTTAAAACAATGCTACTCTTCTGATTTTTTATTTTGGAAAATAAGGTATATTTCATAAAATTGTATTTATGTTATTATTGTTTTATTTTTAAAAGAATTAATAAATACTTAAAAATATTTTTCAGTTTTAACTTCTAATCTGGTAAATAACATTAGGTATAATTCACATAAACAAAAGCTCTTTGGGATTTTTCACTTTTAAGAGTAAAAAAGGGTCCTGACACCAAAGTTTGAGAACCACTGATCTAATAAAACTCTCATTTTAAAGATGAGAAAACAGACCCAAACGGGTAAAACATCTTGTCTAAGTTTATAAACATAAGCTCCAAATCCCATCTCTTGATGAGACAGCCCAGTATCCCCCTCCTCAATCTTTGTACCAATTAGTAAATAAGAGTATATTTCCAAGATAAAGTAATTTAAGTTCTTACTAAATAGTTAAGTCAGTCTTCATTCACACCCACATCAGTCAAATGATCCATCTGATTAAAAGTATTGCAAGGTGATCCATACTACTCCTTGTGTATTAAACTTGGCTGTTACTTCCAGCTGACAGAAAATTAATTTTATCAAAACATAAAACTGTTTTCCTTGCTGTATTCTAATAATGAGGTTTTTCAAATAAAAATACTACAGATTAACCAATTTTAGATTTAGACATCAAAATGTTTAAATTTTTATAACACTTTAATAATAACAGCCAACATTTATTGAGTGCTTATTATGGTGTGAGGTACTCTCAAAGCATGTTCTCCCTTAATCTTAAGAAAAGTACTATTATTAAACCCGTCTTACAGATAAACAGACAGATCCTTAGAGACATTAAGTAACTTGCCAAAGGTCATACTTTTAGGAACTAACCGTTGAGACTGAAACTTAGGTACATTCCAAAACACATTAAATACTATGCCATACTTCTGTTTTTATGTAATAGGTAATTGAAAACATTACCATTCTTTTTTTTTTTGAGGTAGATCAGCCCTGAGCTAACATCTGCCACAAATCCTCCTCTTTTTGTTGAGGAAGACTGGCCCTGAGCTAACATCTGTGCCCATCTTCCTTTACTTTATATGTGGGATGCCTGCCACTGGCATGGCTTGACAGGCAGTGCGTAGGTCCACACCCAGGATCCGAACCACCGAACCAGGGGCCGCTGAAGCGGAACCTGTGAACGTAACTGCTAGTGCAACCGGGTCAGCCCCTATCATTCTTTTATTAGAGAAGAAAACAACCCGCTGCCTCTTTAAAAAGGGCAACAATATAGCCAATTGTAAACTTGGGATTCCTAAACTAAAATTCATTGCCTCTGTCTTTCCTAATTGCACAGGATCCTTTCCTGGATTCCTATATTCTCTTCCTCCTTTTGTTCAGCTCCAGGTAAGGCATGTGATTTCTTTTAGTACTGTTGCTGCTACCAGTAATGACTAGTAATCTGAAGAAACAATTATAAATTCAGTAAAAGATGATTTAGGTTAACTCTTTCCAAATCTGAATGTAAAAATTCCCTGTAGTGGAAAAACAATTAGAACACATTTATAGAATAAGACAGTATATTTTTAAGGAAGCAGTGCATTTTTAAGGAAGATAGATGTATATTAAAAGCAACTGTATTTCACCACTTGATCACAAATATTGGAATCAGTGAAATCGAAAGAATTTGAGCTGCAAAGAACTCTAGAAATGATCTAATTAATGTATTTTACATATAGAGTAAAAAAACTGAGATGCAGAGAGGTGAACTGAATACCTTGCTCAATGTCATGCAGCTAAAAAGTTGTGGACATTTAACAGGCAGTAAATAATGTAAGCACTTCTTAAAGTAGCCAAAGAACTTCACTTTAAATAATAAGTCAAAAGCAAATTTCCCACAAGAAATAATGGTAAATAACTTTATGTCCTTTCTAGAGGATGGGCTATAGCAAAGTTAACTGCCACTGTGAACACAAATTTAAGAACTCAGCCCAGCTGAAGGAGAGAGTTACCATTACACGAAAAGAGTAGGAGAGCAAGAACTACATTGGGCAACTAGTGGAAAGAGCTAACCCCAATCCTGTGAGCTAATCCTACTCATCTAAAAAGAAAAAAGGGAGACTTTGATTTTAATAAAGGCTTTTGGAGGTTTCCTGATACCACAGCTTCCCAAAGAACTAAAAGGATATTTTTCTAACATGACGCAAGTTCAAACCATAAGTAGTTAACACATGTAAATTTTACAGTAAGGATAAACAAACATAACTCCATATAAAAACCATAGAAATTGCAAGGGTGAATAAGGAACCCTGTGCTGCGCAATGGCACTTGGTAGTCATTATCTATCCTACTGAATGATCTAGTTAGGCCTGAGATCACTAACAATTCTTTTCCCATGGGGCAGATCTTGCAATTCTGAATGGTGGCACATGTGTGGTAACCAGAGATCTAAACAGAAAGCTCATAAGGCAAACCATGGTAGAGAAAAAGTGGCCGGGATGAGACTAGTTTTGAAAAGAAGCACTAACATTTAGAACTAAGGATTCATTCTTTCTAAAAAGAAAAGAATAAGTAATCTATTTACCAGCATGCATAATGAATAGGTGCCCAGTGGTCACTATCTAATTGGTTGACTGAAAATCTTTCATTGAGAAGACGGCTTAATAATTCTGAATCTCCTTCACAGGCACTTCGATGGAGAGGAAAATCATCTACCCACTGTCGTTCCCTAATCATTAAAAACAAAAAACAGCACTGTTGAAATTCACATTGTTTCAAAACAAACATGATATATTTATGAAAACTATGTATCACTGAACAGCTGAAAACTAAATCATTTATGTAATGCTTACATTGCATACTAATTGCACCTATCATTTTAAAGAATATTTTAACATTAGAATGCAAGTTTTAAAAAAGCAATGTGGAATAAAACCAAAATAGTACTTGTCTTCTGTGACACTGCTCATACTTCTCTGCCATTTTTCCTGTTTGGGAATTTGGATTTTTGAGTAGTCTGGAGCTCCTAGACCAAAGTATGGATTTATTACCACTTTATCTACCTAGAAAGGGAAAACAAACAAAACAAAAACCCCTTAAGAGCTGTAGATACTTGACTGTACTACATACAAATAGAGCTAAAAGTAGATGTCATCTTCATGTTTACAATTAGTAATAGATGCATTTATCTCAGGAAACAAAATTACATTTGAGATGAAATATCTTTTGAAACCAAAATTCATTCAACTCTTACCCGGTTTGTATACTGAAGATCTGATCCAAACAAAGGGTTGTAAATACAGGTATCGGCTTTCTCCAGGGCTAACATTTTACTCTTTATTTCTAATGCACTATAGCCCATATGTAGCGAATTTTCTGTCTGACCTGATTCAGTGGCATATGCAGGGTTTATGACATTAGTTTTTATCCGCTCAAGAGGAGAGGGTCGGAATAAAGCTGGAATGAAGTGAGACTGTGCGTGACGTTCATCTAACCACCTGGCAAAACAGAAAGAAGTAGCAGAAGTATTTGTTCAAAAGTGAAGATGAAAAAAGTAGACCTCTATCCAACTCTGATATGTGATATTTCTAATATTACATTCAGATTTTTACAATTTTAATTAGTGTTGGTTAAGTACTTCATTTACTATTGATAAATGTTTTGCTAATCGACAGAGAAAACTATTTTTAAAAATGCATATACCATTATAATAATAATAAAAACCCCTTTCAGAAAACATGAAGCACTTTTAAAATTTAAACCACTGAAATGCAGGTGATATTAGCCCTGTTGTTAGGGAAAGACAAAAAAGCATGATAGGTAAAACGTCTTGTTCACTGATAAGTGTAACTCATACTAAATATAGTTTTATAACAAAGGAATCTTAATTCTTAAACCAGGGCAGTCTTAGTCAATTTTGAAGAATAAAATTAACATATTGAAAGCAAACCAGGACAATCTTGTCTTTGGAGTTTTTCATTTTTACATTATACTTCAAAAACTTACCACTTCTTAAAACAAATATTATTAATTTCATTATTTTCTTCCAAAAGTGTTTGTATTTATCAGAGCTAATCTCTACTATAAACATGTATTTGATTTATTAAAAAATGTTTTTAATGGCAGTTCTTACTTATCCAAGGCTATCAACATCCTTGCTGTAAGTGTAGCAAAGTGAGTGCTGGATTCACTACAGACTCGCATAATATCTTGTAAGCAGTAAAAAATTGGGCATCCTGGAGTATATGTATATTTAGTATTATCTGAAAAAGAAAAATGAAGAATTATGCCATCATATAAAAGGTTTACAACTGCATATTTTTTATTTATAAGTATACAGTATGTTAAGAAAATTGTTAACTTTAACATAAATTGTTCTAGATTTGGAATTAGAAGACCTGGATTCAAGTGACAGCCAGCTCTGTGAACGAAGCATTTAGAATCTTGGAGGACCGCAGAAACTGTTTCCTCTTTCTCTTCCTCAACAATGTTGCAAAACTCTGATTAATAAGATTTCCCACGCCATTTAAAATACTAAACTTTTTAACTTAAGTATGGCTGGGGAAAAAATATATCTGCAATGCCAGAGCTGGCGAATAAAATACATGTAAGTACTGTGTAGCAGTTGATGGGCTGTCCACAGTGGGTCATTGACATGTCATCACTATTATTACTATGTTACATGAGGTCAATATTCTATAGCTTCCAAAGTGATTTGAACATCTAATTCCTCACTGAATTCTTCCAGCATGATGAACCAAGTAGGAGCAGATACAGTCCTACAAATAAAGAGCTGAGGCTTAAAGAGGTGATTTGCCCAAGGGCACAAAATTAGTGGGCTTACAAGGTTTGCACTGAAACTCAGTATTTTTTCTATTATTCCATGGTGTCAAAGGCTCAAATTAAATTTTCATATTAGATTTAAGTTCTTTAAATATTACCAATCCTGTTGGGCAGAGTATTTTAGAACTATTATTGACACTTTCTTGTCTCAAATACAAGATAGGTACTCATCGTAATCTGCTAATTTTCCAAAATACTTAAATACCTATTTCTATTCTATCTATAGCATATCCTTTGAAAATCCCTCATTATAACTTGACAACTTTTAGTTTCAGTTATGGCTTCCCTCCTCACTTCTTTATTCTGCTTTTAAAAATAGAAAGAAAAACATTGCTGCTCAGTCCAGAAGCCTGAATATAGTTTGAAATCAAAACATGTTTGTTTAAGTAACAAACTTCTCCATCTCCATTAATTTAAAAACATGTATTTTACAACAGTATTATAGTAGTAACCACAATGCAAATTCCTGACTTCCTCAGTAGACTTTAACTTAGCATTTAAGGTATATAAAGATTCATAAGATAAAACTCAGACCTTACCTTTGACAACTGATGGAACAATAAATAATGCCGCTTCTCTGCCCATCTTCTCCCCATCCAGAGGAAATTTCTTCATCAGTACCACTCGTTTTCCTAATCATTTTTTAAAAAGTCAGTAAAGATAAAAAATAATAGGCCTTTAAATCTTATAAATTACCTTCAGAATTAGAAAAAAATTTTAAAGGCAGTATTAATAGGAATTGAAACATAAAAAGTCAATTTTATTATATGCACTAATAAAAACTGGTAATTGTGATAATAATGCAAATCCTCATGTGGACAATCAACCAGTGGATTCATCGTCCTGGTCTTAACTTACTAGAAGAGAGGCCTCCTTTAGCAAGGAAAAACGAGCTGCTAAGGATTGACAGAGCAATTGAACACCAAGGCACCCTGCAGGGTCAAAAGGCATACACTTCCTCACTCAGCTGGAATGTAGATGGTAAGAATTTTACTATAGTTTAAGCTGGCTAAGGAGGGTGGTATATATGTTTCAAAGTCTTAAAGTTTAGTAGTTTTGCTTAACATTCAACCTCCGTCCTTAATTTCAGTTTTTATTAAAACCTGATTGGGCTACAAACTATTGCCTGAACTGCAACCACCATTCTTAGTCTGTTTTTCCTGATTGGGCAGTAGAGGGCTATAAATAATAACCTATGAGCTTTGCACTCTAAAACCTCTCATCTTCTAGTGACCTTTGCCATGATTTTTATCAATCCTTCCAATCTCCCCGCCCAAAGAAAGAGAACCTTGTTCCTGACCCAGGTAAGAATACCTGGCTGCATACTTTCTGTGAACAGAAAGATAATACAAGAATTTCAAGTAGCTTCATTTATTCACGAAATGCTGGAGTCAATATTTGTGATTACTAGGGCCCATTATTATTACAGCCCCCAAACAATTATTTTACAAAATGGACACTTGCACAAAATATAAGCATTAGATACAGAATAACATTCTAACAAATTTCAGACGCAATATTTCTTTTGCCTGGCTTGAGGTCTTATCCCACTTAATCTTTGCCTTGCTGCTTCCCCAAACCCAGTTCTGGTCCATTGTTTAACTGCCTACTTTGCAAATTACAGACGTAACTATGAAATCTGTTGCAGGGGAAAAATAAAAGCACTGACTATAAGTTGGGAAATGAGGGTTCTAGCCCTATTTCTTCTACTAATGGCAATATTTTAGCAGGTGACAACCTATGTCTGCATTTCCATTTTACAGATGTGAAAATGACCACATACCAACTCACAGGACCAATTTAAGAATTTCATGAATAAGTGTGGTAGTATTTTATAAACTATGTATAGCACTGCACAAAAAAATAAGGCATAATGACTGCTATTATAAAGTAATTTGTGATTTTCATGTGATGTTTACTTAAGGAATCATACTACTCTATAAAAATACTTCATACATTTAGAAAAACTCAATTGAATAGGATAGTCAGGATACGGCATGGCTTATTAACAGAATTGTCTATTTAGTTAACTAAAACTTCTCTATTTTAATTTCTCTTATTAAAAGCTGCCTGAAAATATATTAGTACATTTTATTGTCTAAGTATACAAGGCATAATTGTGCTAGACATGTTTCAGGTGCCTATCCACTCATAGCTTCTCCTAACAGAAACTACCCAGCCTTCTGGGCCAGGGGACATTTTCTTAACACTGATAACGCCTCTATCCCCCTTCTGGGTAAATGGACAGAGTGTTAGACTTTGGCTCATCCACAGCAAATTACAACTTGTCTACCTCAGTTCAAATATGTGATTTGGGCTAATCAGATTTGTTTCAGGAATTTGATTCCATGATAAATCCTGCAAACTGTAACAATTAAGCAACATGATAAGTCTAGATAAAAATTTATCAGAAAAGTCCAAGGCTGAAGTAGAAAAGACTGACAAATTTGAGGCATCCAAAAGGAGCCTTTCACATGCCTTGATCACCCACAAGGATAGTGCCCTTTTTAGCTAAGATCAGTTTATTAAAAAGTAAATCCAGGGGCTGGCCCCGTGGCCAAGTGGTTAAGTTTGCATGCTCCGCTTCAGGGGCCCAGGGTTTCGCTGGTTCGGATTCTGGGCACAGACGTGGCGGCACTCATCAGGCCATGCTGAGGCAGCGTCCCACACGCCACAGCTAGAAGGACCCACAACTAAAATATACAACTATGTACTGGGGGGATTTGGGGAGAAAAAGCAGAGGGGGAGAAAAAAAAGAGGAAGACTGGCAACAGTTGTTAGCTCAGGTGCCAATCTTTAAAAAAAAAAAAAAAGCAAATACAATAATTAGGGAAAGGAGATTCTCTTTGTGGGTCTCAGAACGTGTATCAAAGATCTGTAAATTTACGCAGGAACTTCTTATAATCTTGAGTTACAATGTTTAGAATCCCAACCCACAAAAACCCTTCAAATTTTATTGGGGAGGTTAACTCTTGAGGAGGTAAAATATAGTGAATGATACCTCCAAAAGTTATGAAATACAAGCCTATAGGTCAGCCATCTCTGGAGAAGAAATACCCAAAATAACTAATAAATAAAATCACAGGATTCAGCTTATCTCTGCAACAAAAACAGTCTCTTTACTGAAACAGAAGAATTAGACAACTGATCTCCATAAAGATGAACAAACAGAAAAACCCACTGAATAAGCTTTAAAAAACTAAAAAGTAGGAACAGAGAGGTATGCTCTACTTTACCAACAATAACGGTTTTCAACTGCTGTTGGACTGAAATTAGCTTTACCTTTTTAATTATAATGCCTGAATCTTGGACATAGTTTATAATTTCTGTAACTTCTAAGTGCTATCTGCTTCTTGTGAAGCTACGGCCTGAGAAACTGACATTAACTTTCATAGGCTGTACATTATTTAACATTTTAAATGGGGCCTCAGCATTTCAGGCTTAATACTTCAACAACTCAGTTTGGCTCTTTGAAAAGGGTCTTGTTGGGGGCTGGCCTGGTGGCATAGTGGTTAAGTTCATGTGCTCTGCTTTGGCAGCCCAGGGTTCACAGGTTCAGATCCCAGGTGCGGACCTACGCACCAGTCATCAAGCCATCCTCTGGGAGCGTCCCACATACAAAATAGAGGAAGACTGCCACAGACGTTAGCTCAGAGGCAATCTTCCTTAAGCAAAAAGAGGAAGATTGGCAACAGAAGTTAGCTCAAGGCCAATCTTTCACACCAAGAAAAAAATGGGTCTTCTTACTGTAATCAAAAGGAAAGAAAACCTCTGCTACCTGGTAACTTATAAGATTCTTTTTAATCCATGAATCTTAACATTACTTATTATGGAGAGAGGTTTATAGTTTCCTCTGTCCTAAAGTATAGAAATAAAAATACTAGTTCAAAGATACTTACCTAGGGAACTATATTTCTAGCTAAGGTAGTTTGTACTTTCTTTCAGTTTTTGAGCCACCCCTTGGTTTCCTCTCTCTATTGAACAAATCATTAACATTGTGACTTATTTAAATATTTTTCAACTTAAAAATTATAGTCAAGGTACTTCTTGAAGAGGCATGGCTGCACCTTAAAAAAACCTCTGAATCTTTTTCAAGTGTTTTAAATGGTAAGAAACATAAAAAGAAATTGATTTTAATATATTTTTTAAAAGGTCTTTCTCCACTGGCATTTAAAGCGAACTGTGTTAAAAAAAGGAAAAGTTTCCTACCTCTGATACCCTGGTTTGCAGGAGAAATTGGTTTGGTGGTTTCTACTACATAATCCAATATGCCTTGTGTTATTTCACTGCTGCCTTGAAGTTTAGTTTCCAACAAAACTTTCTTTCTCTTTTTTTTCTGTCCTTCAATGGGAACTTCATGCAACAAAATCTTAGAGGAGAAAAATAAAATTAAGAGAAAGTTTGAAATAAAATTTATTTGCCCTAGAATACAGTAAGCCAGCAGTCTTTCTTAACCCCAGCTGCATATTAGAATAACCCAGGAAGCTTTTAAAACAGTATCAGTGCCTATTAAATCATCTCAGGCCCATTAAATCAGAATGTCTGGAGAGTGGGGTCCTGGTACAGGAAATTTTACAAGTTCCCCAAGTGATGTGACCATGCAGTCAAGACTGAGAACCAGTAAGCCAGAGCACTGCTGAAGCAGCAGCCTCCTGAGAAACCCTGCAGCATCCTTTAACAGGGTTCAGATAACTAACCTTAAAAAAAGCAAGTTAAGCAAAATGCTAGAGAGATTAGTTGGAGTCAGGTTAAATTAGAGGTATTTATGATGCCTGGACTCTGTTGCATGGAAAAGATAACAATTCTGTTTTGGGCTGTTTTTTTGGGCCTCAATCACATTTACTAACATATGTAATATAATTCACGACTATAGAGAAGTAACTTAATTGCCTAAAACTTAAAGGTAAAAAGATAATTTAAATGAACTGTTAAAAATAGTTCTTTGGGAAAATAACCAAGAACAATGTTTAAATTGGAATTTTAAACAAGCTGGCTTTTGCAATGGTGTTTTCATTTTTGAGAGCCATTCATAAATTGTACTAAAACCTAAATCTATAAATTATAAGGAAAATTCAAACAAGTACCTTTTAATATCTAATAATTTATACCTATCAGTGAACAGAAAAACGGTCAAAAGGCATGCAGCAAAAACATCTCTGATGGGCAGAGATGTAGGATTATCTGTTCTGGCTTATCAAGATCTAGGTTGTCAACTACAATTTACAGGATATGATAAGACATATAAAATAAACGAAAATGATAATGGAGAATGACATTCAATAGTAGCAAATCAAATGTTAGTAAATTGTTCTCACTTCATATGACTTAGCTCTGTATTCCCGAGAATTGAGACTGGCAGTATTCTTTGGACGAATAACAGCAACGTATGCATCTTCTGTGTTTTCTGGATTTCCCATTGCTTTATAAAACAAACAAATCCCGTGAAAAATTGAAGGACATATAATCACTCTGAAAGACAATTTTTTAAAAATATTGATTTTTCTTAGACTACATACTACCAAAAGGCAAGTCAGATATGACTAATTGTATCTTACCATTGAATTAAACTTTAGCTTATAATTTAAGATTTCCTTGTAGTTCTTTTTTCCTCTTCTGTTAAAGATAAAATTTTTTTAATGGGGATATATACTTTCATAGGTCTCAATTGTGTAAGAACCTACCTTTTGGACTTAAAAAAAAGTGATACGATTGTAAAATATCCTGTAAATAGTAAGTAAATAATGACTTGAAATAGTGTTTCAGAATAATACACACTTATACAAAAACATTTGGTCATTTGATAAAAGCTTTCTGATGATGACTTAATATTTTCCACTTCCATTATCAATTCCCTAGATAATCCAAGTGTATATATATACACACAGACAGACATATACATATATATGTGTATATATATATATATATATATACACACTTTTTTCCCCAAACTAATTTTATGTCTCCATTGGGCAATTTCCAACAAGTAACTGAATTTCAAGCACTCTCTTGGTTGTCAAATAGTTCTATCTCCTTGTTAAGTGCTATTATTAATTTTCTTCATGGCTCGACTAAAATGCAACTCTTTGTATTGAATATATTTTATCTATCTTTTTAAAAAAGCTTCCCCTCGTTTATATGCCAGAAAATTTCTAAAAGAACATCAAACAAGGAGTTTCTGTCCTGGCCATGTTGAGATGAACCTTCTCTAGTTTTTTAAAGGTCCATTAGGTATTAAAATGATCTTCACATTTAATGAGTAACTTATTGTCCCAACTCTGATAAAGAAAAAAGAGATCATTTTCAACAAAGGTTTCTGAATGTCATTTGAAAGGAGACAGAGGAATTTATTGTTTCCTCAATGGAATTAATAAAGTCATTTTGGAACCTTTAATTCACTACCCTATATAATAATAATAATAAATACATTATATAATCAGAAAGTTGCCTTAAAAAGCAATTCTTTTAAAATCTAGTAACTTTTGGCATTTTAAGTAAATGTTAGCCTAAGAGTAAAACAACCATTAAAATAGTTCAAAAATTATTTTAAATTATTTAAATAGTTTTAAAATTTATTTTAAATTATAAAAATTTTCACTGATTTAGATCCAGAGAAACTACAGATATTTCACGAGAGAAACTACAGTAAAACATCAGGATTGAGACACTTCATTTTGTGAAAAGTTTTGAGGATATATCATTCATTCTCACTCTATACCTCATGGAATTTTTTTCAGTTCAGTTTTTCCATAAGATCATGCTTAAAACCCACCTCATACAACAGACCTTCCTATACTATGTCAAAAGGATGAGGCCTTTTTCTTCTCATAACTTCTATTCAGTAAATTACTTTTCACCTGAGATTAACAATGACTTCAATATAAAACCTCACAAATTAGGAAATGTATGGATGCCTCCTTGAAGAGTGCAAACCCCAAAAGAAAGATTACATTGTGAATACATTGTATAACATACATGGCACAATTATAGAAACCTTTTTCCTGGTAAGCACCTAAAAAGGAATCAAGTAATTCTTCGTTTTCTGAGCACAATTTAAAGCAAATCAATTCCTGTGCTGATCAACTCATGTTAAGAAAATGTCTACTAGAAAAATACTTTAATTGTTAATACTCATCACTTCCCTAGAATATTTAGTATTACACAGTACACTCAACTTTTAAAAGATAAACAAATATGATGTAATAAAAAAAGACATAACCATGAGGTTAAAAAAAGTATTTTGTTTTTATACCACTTAATGTTAACATACCCCTAAAAGATTCTAAAAACTGATTTTCAAGAAACATTCTACTTGAATATTTGAAATATACATACTTCCAATGACATGAAAGAAGGAAACAAAGGCTTAAGTTAGGAAAAGAATAAAAGTTACTAATATATGAAGGCAAAACTGCCAAGGCAGAAACACATGCAAAGGGATTAGAAGAGAGTAACTTGAGCTAAAAAGAATAGAGAAAGGTATAACTAAAATTTGCAAAATATTTAAATCGAGTTTTAAATAAGAGTTCAAGTGACTAAATATAGGAAACGTGGCATTTTGTTGTATGGCTCATTCTATTCTGGAAAATGCTTATGCATAAAAGATAATATGCTGCCTAAGTAATGAGGTCTTACAAATATGTGGAAGTGGCTCTCAATTGGGCATCGTACCCACCTGGGATCATTTTAAATTTGTAGGGGCATTTCTGATTGTCACTATGGGGAGGGGAGGTGTACAACTGCCATTTAATCTCCAATGGGGCAATTTTTAACATCTCTTTACTATGCTAGGCAGTCCTGTTTAACAAGATGCAAATATTGTCTTTAATAAGAAACATTTGCTATATAGAGCATAGATGGACAAACTTAAAAAGCCTTTTGCAATGGAGGCAAAGAGTAGATTCAGTATGTGAATATGAGTACCATAAATTTAGTACGCAGAGTCAAAGTTGACAAGATGATTTACTGGTTCACAAAGTACATGCTAATAGAAATTACCAACAATGATCAGAAAGTATATCTTCATAAATAAAAACAAAAAAAATGAAGCATCATCTTAGGGCTCTGTAAGATGTTCCTGAGATAGAGCATGATTCCTCGCCTTCCTCTATCCTTAAGCAAAGTTTCTCAACCTTTTACAACCCATGCCAACTTTAAATAACCAAACCAAACCAAAGAAACCTTACCATCTACACAGTTGAAAATCACTGACAAAATGTATTTTCTTTTTATCCCCACCAGCCAAAATGATTTTATCAAGTTGCCCTTAAGTTTTTATTGCTTTCACTTTCTAAATGACATTTAATATACTTTTAAAATAATATGAATAGCTAACACCCATACTGCTTACTATGTGCTAGACTGCTAAGTGCTCTACATGTATACTCCTTTTATTTCCCCCAAAACCTGATGAAGTAGGTATTATTACTGTTATCCTCATTTTACAGAAGAGAAGCTGAGGTAGAGAGTTGCTAAGTTACTTGCCCGTTCCCCATTCTCCTGGAACAATTCACTATTACAAAGCATTGTAACATTAAAGAGAAGAGACAGCAACTAAACATCAGTAAGAATTCCCCTACAGGGTTTTGTTCACCATAAAAATCTCCTCCTTTTGCTACTCAAATTGGTTTATGATAATAAAAGGAGAGGAAGGAATAATCAAGCAGAATAGAAAATAGCTATTGGTGCTACGTCTAACTCAGCTGGCTTTCTCCTTGTCCCTTCAACCAATTCTACCAATCATCACTTACCAGTATCAACAAGCATCACCAATAATTTTCAAACACTTTCTTTCTGTTGACATTCTATTCTGTACTTTAAGATATTTAATAATAGTCAAACAGCTTTTGAAGGCAATTATACTAAACTTGGCCAACAAAGAAGGAACTAAGTAATAGTATAATTGGGAATCAAATGAATTCCTACAGTGAACACCAAGTACATTCAATGAGGTTATTTGGGGGAGCATGATTTCATCCATAGTTTATCTAAACATGCTATACATCAGCTCCTACTCTAGTTCTACAACCCAATTCTAAGGAGAACCAACTAATACATTGACATGGGTTAAGGGGGAGAGATCATGGAATGAATTGTTTTTATATTGTTATGAAAACAGTTTTGAGTTTTTGTCACTTCCCCCAAATAAGATGAAGACATCAAAAAAGACTGGAGATGCAGAAAGAAGCATTTGCAAACAGAAATGGAAGACACACAAGCTCTCCGAGAGAGAGAAGGGAATGGAGGTGAGATCCTCAGGCAGGCTAGCTGGATCAAAGACTGCTGGTGAAACTAAATGGAGAAAAAACAGACAGACAGCCGAAAGCCTTAAATGATGGAGCGGGGTTGAGAGAGGAAAGGTGAGCTGGAATGACAAGCTGTGTATCGCTTTCCCTGAAATGACGACATTAAACACACTGCCTAGGTTTTTCCTCTGCCACCACCCATCAACGTGCACTACCGGAAAAGGACCGCCACGCCTCTTCGCTCAAAGCGCAGCCACCTAAAAAGTGGCTTTGGCTTCTTTGTAACTACTTGTAAGAAAAACACTCCTTGCCTGGAGAAGCTAGATGTGGAGACAGCTCGGCCTCCCACGTCTCTTCTTTTCTCTCGCTGCAGTCTGGCTCTTGCTCCTCCTCGTTTCCCCTAAGGAAACCGGCGGTCTCACCCGAGCGGGCGGCCGAGCGCGTCCCGGGCCGCTACATTCAACTCACTGGGTGGGACAGTCACCTGGGGGGCGGGGGCCCATCACCGCTTTCTCATTCTTCCTTCCCTTCTCCTTCCCAGCGGCCGGGCCCAACTTCCTGTGACAGGAAAACCCACAGTTGCCACCAGAAGCCGCCCGGTGTGTTCGGCCGCGCTCCCCACCGCGCGCCCCGAGAGCTCAGGTCTCCGGCCTCGGAGAGCCTCTTGTTCACCGGCTCTTTACTGTCCTTCCTTCTTCTTGCACCTCGGCACCATACACCCCTCACGCTCTGCCGAAACCTGGGGATTCCAGGTCTTCAGAGGCCTTAGCTTTCCAGCCCGCCGCTACCGGGGCGAGGAAATCGCTTCCGGGTTCACACCCTTAGCAGCCTCGCGGTTGGCGGCAGAAGAGCTTCCGGGTCGGCGGCCGAACTGCTGCCGTTCCTGCTGCTTCTCGCTGGGGCTGCGGGGTGTCTGGGGCTGGTGGCGGGCTGTTCGGGGAGTGGGGTGGCGGCGGTGGGCGCGCCAGCGGCTGAGCCGGAGGCAGGGGAGGGGGTGTGGGCGGCCCGGGCTGTGCGCGCGCGCGCCAGGCTGGAGCATGAGCCGGACTTGACCGCGAGGCGGAGGCAAGAGCCACCGCCCCCTCCTCCCCTCCCCCGAGTGAGGCGGCGCGGCGGCCGAAGAGGGATGGGGGGCGCCCGCCCAGTCTGAGCCTCGCGGCGGGCGCCTCTGGCTCACGCAGCGCTCCCCGCGGGCTTCCAGTGCGCACTCTCGGCCCCAGCAGCCTCTGCCCTGCAGGCGCACCCGGCCGGCGAGGAGGGGGCGTCCCCCCGGGTGGGTGGGGCGGGGAGGGTACCTGAGGTCACCGGCTCAGCGCAAAAGACGGGCGGCCACGACAGTGGCAGAAACTGCAGAGCTGCGAGATCCACCCGACCCTTACCCTCAGCTCGGGAAGTAACTGTAAGTCAGCTTCGCCGTACGGGTCTGTTTGAGGCTGTCTCAACCCATTTTGGGCTCCGAGTTCAGCGCTGCCTAGTTCACGCCCTCCTGGGTCTCCTACATATGTGCCTGCCTCATCTTGTGGAGGATTGTCCGTCTGTCTGCCGCCATCCCCGAATAGGCAACATCGTTTGTCTACCCCATGGGACTTGTCTCCCGGCAAATTTGCAAGCCTTCGGGTCTCCATGGCGCGTCCCATCCTCCCCATCTGGATGCATCTCCTTGTCCCTCTGTCCTCAAAGGATCTGTGTCCTCCCTCTTTTTCTGTCCGTACCCCGGACCTCACAGCCTCCCCCGCCCATCCTTTGAGACGTGAAAAGCCAAGGGTTCTGCTGATCTCGAGGGCTAGAGAGTCTTGAGCGGATGGATGAAAGTGCTCTGCAGGGCTGTGATGGGTGGGGATAGGTGCGGATGGCTCTAGTGAACCTTTATTTTTGCAGCTTCTGCCACCAAAACAAAAGAATGGGCCGCTCCCCTGGAGCTTCATTCCTCTCCCTGCCTAACCGTGTATAAGCTGTTTTCTGTACGTTGCTGTTTGAGTCGCAGGAAATTGTAACTAGAACTGTAATTAAGCATCTCCTGGGGAGGTTTTGAGAGTCTCACAAGCTCTATTCGCACGGAATGGCATATTGAACAATCTTGTATTGAAATGAAGACCCATTCCAGAAGAGCTTTACTAAGAGATCTGAGAAATGAATGTGAAAACAAAAGTCTGATGTTTCAAATGTGTTTTGGATACCTTTATCCTAAATCCAAAATTTAGGTAATTTTTAGTGTTTTGGATTTACCTTTAGCTCTTAATTTACAAAATGTGTGTATGTGTATGATGTAAAAATCTTTGTGTTGGAAGATTTTGCTTTGTTAGTGGTAAAAGAAAAAAACACCACACTAAAGTGATTTTTAAAGATCGCGTCAGATTATATTTGATAAAATGTAATTTTAAATCCTTAATTCCAGAGAGACTTTTTTTTTTTTTTTTTACTGATTTCCATCAACCACCTACGGATGTTACACACCTTGGTGTCTGTGACCTTCCTGCTTCTTAAAAAACCAACAAATTAACTGAATATCTTCAATGTGTATTTCCAGATTTTAAGCATTTTTTCTCGTTAAAATTTGGTTTTCTTTTTAAACTGCCACTGCAGAACTTTCCAGAAATTAGATTAAAAAATAATTGTAATGCTGTCAGTGACAGGACAGTAGCTCTTACATGCCTTCAGGTATTTGATACTTTTCAAGGCACTAGGAAGCAAATGATCATTTAAGAATAATTTTTACTCTGTGTATTGCAGCTTCTCTGTTATTATTGTAAACTATTCTGTAATGTAGACTGGTAGCTTTGGTCATTTTTTTCCTGAAACCACAAATATTGTCATTTTGTTAAGAAAGGTAGATGTGTTTAATGATGATTTTTTTTGTTTTTAAAACCTCCTTCCAGCCATTGATTTGGGGCTATTATTTGATGTGTAACTTCACACTGTTCACAGATTTTAGTTTGAAGAGCCTCAGGAGATGTAGCTCCAGCTGTCTCTCGGAAATGTACTTTACTGGCTTGTTTCAGAAGCCAAGCACTTTATGGAGTTGCACGTATTAAGGATATGGTTTTTGCTTTTCATAAAACTGATCAGTTTCCAAATGAAAGTAGGGTGCTGTAGTGAGGTGATGGGCAGTAATTGGAAGTCTTTAAAGTTTTAAATTCCATTGATTCTTATTATCTTTGGAGGTAGGATGGGGAAGATAGGACTGTATTTTCATATTGACCTTTTTCCTTTGCCCACTGCTGAGAATTTTGAGTTTTCAATATGAAAGCGTTCTGAAACCATGCAGACTATGCCATAAGTGTGGGCTCTAACAGGTGGCTGCTGAGACATGGGAGAGTTTTGTTAGCTACTCTTTTGTACTCCTGTAGCACTGCCCACTTTATTTTATTTTATTTTATTATTTTATTGAGGTCATATTGGCTTATAACATTGTGTAATTTCAGGTGTACTATTATATATCAGTTTCTGTATAGACTGTATTGTGCTAACCACCAATAGTCTAGTTTTTATTGGTCACCATACATATGTGCCCCTTTACCTCTTTTGCCCCTCCCACCCCCTTCCCTCTGGTAACCACTAATCTGTTCTCCTTATCCATGTGTTCATTTATCTTCCACATATGAGTGAAATCATGTGGTGTTTGGCTTTCTCTGTCTGGCTTATTTTGCTGAACATAATACCCTCAAGGTCCATCCATGTTGTGCAAATGCACTGCTCACTCGAGGGAGTTGATTTTCTTTCTTTCCTCTTTCTTTTCTGAGGTGTGCCCTTGAATTTGTGAAAGTGAAATATACGTACTTACAACTTTTAGGTAAAAGTTTAAGCTAATTTTTATATATAAATAGATGGAAGAACTATGAATTAAGTTTATCTGATAATCTCCTTGAATGGAAGTTAGGAAAGATTCCTCAGTGCTTTGGGTGCTTTTTATGTCTTTGAGGATGGACACAACATTTATTTAGAAGAAATTTAAAAATATTTCTAATATTAAACTTTATATATGACACATTTGTTCAAACAGATTTGAGACTGGTTCAGTCTTTATTAAAAACACAAGTTGGGGGGCCAGCCTGGTGGTACAGCGGTTAAGTTCGCACATTCCACTTCTGTGTCCTGGGGTTCACTGGTTTGGATACCGGGTGCAGGCCTGTGCACCATTTATTAAGCCATGCCAGTGGCAGGCATCCTACCTATAAAATAGAGGAAGATGGGCACGAATGTTAGCTCAGGGCCAGTCTTCCTCAGCAAAGAGAGGAGGATTGGCGGCAGATCTTAGCTCAGGGCTGATCTTCCTCAAAAACCACCAGTCTGAGGGGAGTTTCTATGCATGGTTCTAAAAATGCTTAGGTCTTTTATTTCCTTTCTCAAAGAGCCTTGCTTAGGGAATAGTAATTTTTGGACTCTCAGTTTATTTTTCAGACAACCTCTTTTTTTTTCCCAGGTAACTTACTTTCAACCTTATTTCATTTCAGTAAACCTTTATTGAATGTCTGCCATGTATGCCAGGCACTGTGTTAGATTCTGGGACTACAAGGATAAATAAGTTAAGATTCCTTTACTCACTGAATTTTCCAGTTTAGGTATTAGGCTGTGATTCAATCCATCTGCCTTTACAGACATCTTTAATGGGTTTTTAAGTCACTTGACCATATTTTAGGGTTTCACATCCTTTCTCTAAGAATAAACACAATAAATGCCATTTATTGAGTGCAAAATTTGTGCTAGCCATCATGCTAAGTGCTTCATATACATTATCTCATTTAATTCTTAGAACAGTCCTAAGAAATATTTTATCTTCATTTAAAACCATATAGATTCTAGTTTATAGTAATGCTGAATATTGTTTTACTTGTAATATGCTAAAAAAGATTTGACCTTAAGATTTCTCCTTAAAGAAATTGTAGGCATAGTTATAACAGTTTTTCATTCTCTAATAATGCTTTGAATAGAAAGATTCTAATTTCGTAAGGTATTAGTATCTTTTGTTTTCTGAAGCAGATGAATTATATTCTATCCAAATGTAATTTTCAGTTGTGTTTAAACGTTTGAAAAGACAACTGAAGTTCATTATGGTTAACTGTAACGTAGATCTTGAGGCATAAATAACTTTTTTTCCTTCTACTTCAGCAATGGGACCAAGAGCCTATTAAATGTACTAAAAATCTGTATTCTCTGGGAATGATAGAGTATTGAGCTATATGAAATCCATTCAGCTTTTTAAAGTTTTGAGTTGAATTTTGACAACTAATGCCTTGGAGAGTTTTGGTTTCTGTAATGAAAATGTATTCCTGCAGATTTAAAAATGATCTTACTCATCTGTTAGGATATATGCTTTATCAGCAATCAGATAAGGGTCAATCTGATCATTTTCAGACCCCGTCACATTTTTTTAAAGATGATCATCCACTGTCAATTCTTTTTGCCAAAAGCCTGATTTGTATTCTAAACATTTTGTTCAGTTTTTTACCAAAACTGTCAATAGTTTGCCATTCTTTAGGCTAAGGCCTTTCGCTACTGGTTACACACTTGTCTGTTTTTAGGACTGTAAAGCAGATAATTATTCCTCCTCCAAGTTCCCAAGAAGAGTAATCCTTGATATTTTTCTGTCCTCAGTCTGACATACGTGTTTTAACTTGACATAGACAGTTTTTCCCTTTCAGTATAGCAGAATCCTGATACTCAGGTCACTGTATTTTCTGAGTGGAACAATATTGGGAGTAGAATTCCTGTTCAAGGACATGACAGTGACTAAATTATAAATTTGTTAGGTGCTGGGACCGAAAAGATAGTCAGTC